TCAAATAAACACTATGGAGGAGAGACTTAGTGAAAATGTCACTAATGGTGAGAATAACAATAGTATGGACACAGACGCTAGTACGTCTAAGCAAAATACAAGCTCAGATGAAAACATAGAAGCGGAATTTGTGAAAAAGTCACGGATACCACCCATAACTGTTAAAGTAGATTACCCTACTTGGAAAAACATAGCTAGGGCACTTAAACAGAGAAACATTGAGTTTAACTCTAATAAGAATAATAAAGGGATTAAAATTTTCATCAGAAACCCTGAACATTACAGGCAGACTGTTGTTACTTATTTAAAAGACACGAAAGTGGAACATCACTCTTTCACGCTTCCTGAGGATAAAGACATAAAAGTTGTGATAAGAGGTCTTTTAAGAGATACAGATACGGTAGAAATACAAGAGGAGTTAGAGGATTTAGGATACAAAGTTGAATCAGTTAAGCAACTTACGCGCAGAAGAAAAGGGGAGGTTATTAAACTCCCGCTATTTTTAGTTACTCTGCCTAAGAAACCCAAATCCAAAGATATACACAACGAAACTCATTTATGTGACCTAGGAATTAAAGTCGAAAATTATAAAGGTAGATCGGGCACGCTACAATGCTATAGGTGCCAAGGATTTCATCATACGCAAACTGGCTGTAACTATGCACCCAAGTGCGTGAGATGCGGAGAGGGACATTTGTCCTTTGAATGCCCTAATAAAAACTCTGACTTGCCACCATGTTGTGCGAACTGTAAACAATCTCACACCTCGAACTTTAGGGGTTGTGAGATGTTCCCTAAAAAGAAACAGGATAAGCCAAAAGTCTATACTAGTAGGGTTATAGAAAATAAATCATTTGCACAAGCCCTGTCTACTGGTTTGTATGCAGACTACGATCAAGGAAGCAAAAACTGTTTTTGCACACCTGGGCCGAGCTTGTATCGGTCATTAAGAGCTCCGGCTTTCTTTTAACACAGCAAATAGGACAAAATGCACCTACTCATAAGGACAAAACTACCATAAATAAAGATCTTAATGGATAGGTACACCACACAAGGAGATCCCATAAAATTAGCATTCTGGAATGCTCATGCCATTCAGAACAAGTTGACGGAATTTTTAAACTTCCTTAACAATCACAATATTGATATTGCCCTTGTAACAGAGACTTTTGCCACGCCATGCGTGCGTATAAATTTGCCTAATTACCGCACATATAGGTGCGATCGTTTGAGTCACCGTGGTGGGGGGGCCGCAATTTATGTGCGAAACTCGCTACAGTCCTGTTTGATTAGCCAAGACAGAAACGACGGACATGAGATGGTCGCAGTCTCAGTGTACTTACCGCAATATGGTAATTTGAATTTCATTTCATGTTATAATCCGCCCAGGAAACTACTGACGGAAAGTGTTCTTTCCAAACTTCTCTCTGACAATAATAAGTATATCCTAACGGGTGATCTCAACGCAAAGCACTCCGAGTGGGGGTGCCGTAAAACTAACCAAAATGGTAAGGTCCTCTATGAATTTATAAATAATCACCCAGTTGCCCTGCATGTTACTGAGGAGTATACGTATAGACCCCAGAACCCAAGAAATGCAGACCTTTTTGATATTCTTCTGACAAATACTTCAATCCCTATTTATACTGAAGTAAAGCACGAATTGAGCTCTGACCATATACCGGTCATTGCTTACCTAGGCACTACTAAAGAGGCAGAAAATGAAATGATCCAGAAGTTTCTCAGTCAGAATCCGCCCATCTTTGATACTCTGAACTCGCGGAAAGATATAGATGATGCAGTTGATACCCTCACTGATTCAATCAATAATGCTATTGAAAATGCATCTAGACACGTGAGAAGAAATAATAACGCTGGCATTCTGCCACAGGAAATTAGAGAGATGATTAAGGACCGGAATAGGAGGATGAGGAAAGCGTGGCACCTTACATGGAGCCCTCACGTTAAAAGAGATATGAACAAATTAAATAAGCATAAGAGAGATGTATGGGAGGAAAAAATTCAGAATCTTAGTCCGAATGATGGCACCCTCTGGACGTTCATGCGTAACTTGAAAAGGCAGCGTACATGCAATAAGCCGATTTATACTGAAAACTCTGTTGCTCTCAATAATAAAGACAAATCGACGGTCCTTGCGGACCATTTAGAAGAGCAGTTCAGACCTAACATGACGCCCATGGACATTAATTTTGTCAATGAGGCATGCTACTTTGTTAGGGATTGGCTTAATGCCCACACTGCTAAGAGGTACATGGCCACTGCTACCCCCAGTGAGATCAAAGAAATCACAAAGAAGCTTAAAGTCAAAAAGGCCCCTGGCATAGACGGTATTAATAATCACGCACTTAGAAATCTGCCCTGCAATGTTTGTGACAAAATTCACGAGTATTATCAATGCGTGTCTTAGTCAATGCTATTTTCCCACAAAATGGAAAATCGCAAAAGTTATTTTATTGCCTAAGCCCGGCAAGGATAACACTAAGCCAGATGGGTACAGGCCCATTAGCTTGCTTCCGGGACTAGGAAAGGTCTTTGAGAGATTAATCTACAGCAGATTGAAAAACTATATTGAATTACTGCCTCCGGAACAATTTGGTTTCCGGAGAAAGCTTTCAACAACGAAGCAGCTGGTTCGGCTCGTCGAGTTTTGTGGGGATGCGCTTCACAAGAAACAAAATGTCGCCTTACTCATGCTAGACGTGGCGAAGGCATTCGACCGCGTCTGGCATGAGGGGCTTATTTATAAACTTATAAATCTCCCTATGGATAGAGAGCTGATTCAGCTAATTATGTCTTTCATCACTAATAGGAAATTCACTGTGGCTATTGGAAAGGACATCTCCAGTTTACGCACCATGAATGCAGGCGTCCCACAGGGGTCCATTTTAGGGCCCGTCCTGTATTTATTTTATGTTCATGACTTCCCTAGGGCTCACATTGGCAGAAATTACTTTCTTGGGTGCTATGCGGACGATACGGCATTAGCCGTAAAGTCCGCAAACGCACACCATGCAATCAAGAAATTACAGGAGCTTCTACCAGTGGTAGAAAAGTGGTGTACGACTTGGAGAATTGCTATTAATGCCAGCAAGTCGCAATTATTATTGATAAGGAGGAGAAAAATACACAGTTGACTATTAATAGCAAGCTCTTCTTATTCTCTGAAGAGATTCCTAGAGTTAGTAAGGTGAAATATTTAGGAGTAATGCTAAATGAAAGATTAAAATGGGGAGATCATATAACAGAGGTCAGAAGAAAAATTTTCACTGTTGTAAATAGTCTCATCCCTATATTGGGTAATTATTCTAGCTTAGACCTCAGGAAAGAAGAGGCTAGTTTATATCACGGCAATTAGGCCATTGATGACTTATGCGTCGCCGGCCTGGTGCACGGCTACCAAGGAGGATATAAAAAGACTTCAAATCATGCAAAACAAAGTCTTAAGGCTTATCACCCATGCTCACTTTTTTGTGAGCAATGCTACACTGCACTGTGACTTAAAACTGGACACTCTAGAAGAGCACCTGAATAAGATCAACAGGAAATTCTTCACGAAAGCTCTGAACTGTGACCATATGAGAAATTTTGATATCTTTACCTACGAAATATTGAATGAGGACGCCAAACTGCGCCCACTTGCGGCCCACCTTATCAGGGACCCGAACTTTCCCACCTAGTGCCCACCTGTAAATAATGTACCCAATGTGTTTATTAGCATTCTTAATTTTGTATCTTACTCATTTATTGTACTTCACATTCTACACTCATTTTATGACTCCCACTTAGTCACGCCTTTACCGGGCCGGTTACTTGCTAGTGAGCTCTTGCGTTGCTGGTCTTCCTATTCTTTATCCGTCTTTCTCCTCCTTACTGCGGACATTATGTGAAGATAGTTCTATGTTATTGTGCCAATCCGGCATAAATTTGATTGAGCCAGATAAACTACTGATCTCAGTGGTTTTCTGGCTATAAGTTATCAGTCAGTCAGTCAGTCCTGGATGCCAGATGCGGTCAAACGCGCTAAGAAAGAATTTCTTTCCAACTCTATTTGCCTCTTGGCTTCGACCACATCTATCAGCAAGCGACGTTAGCGTTGGGAAGAGCCTAACCCTGTTTGTCTGCTGAGCTTTGGGGGTTCCATGAGACTTAAAAATGTTACTAAAATCTTAATTGACATGAATGCACAATTTTCAGCCATTTAGGAATGCCTGGTGATTGTTTGCACCTGCAAAATAATGCAGATCTTTATTGTGCGTGTTTAAAACAAAATGGCTTAATCTATAATCTGCTGATTTCCAGATATTTTGCTAAACACTTCAGCCATGAATGTATGTTTAAACGTTACTGAGCCCTTGATGAAGAATATGTGAATCTAACTGTATACTTTCAGTGTTGTGCAACAAAGAGAGCTGCAATGTGTGAAGTTGCTCGAAAGTGACACTAACACTTCGTTGACTCCAGTTGCTCAGAACAGTATATCCTCAATACACTGTAAAGAAGTGTAACATCATACCTGGATGGTAGCGCCCCCCACCTAAGGTGAGGAAGAACAGATAGATGATACAGAATGGACAGGAATGGCATATTAAGCGATGTCGCTTGATTTACAGATATCAAACATGTGGATTCACTTTCTCATTAACCTGTAATAAGTGTATTCATAAGTATTTATGTCCATGGAGTTTTGAATTAAGTGCTGATGTAGAAATATTGCTTACATGTAGAATTTAAAGACAGAATTACGATTTAACATAGATGAAGTTATTTCGTTTTTGAAGTGCTTTTTTGTTTTATGTACGTAACTTTATCATATCCAGTTTTAATAAGCGCCGCAGCATCAAATACTGTTCTCGTGTGTGCGAAGTTTTCTACGAACGTGCTCTTTTCTCTGTATTATAAGTTCTACTATGATAGAAGATTTACAAAATAAGCTGATATCTGCATTACTAATACTTTTGAGTTTATTACTTTATTTTTAGGTATTGTGGCAACAGAATACCACCAATTCTTACTTCAGTCCATAATACTCTTATAGTGAAATTCGTAACGGATGCGAGCGTAGCTAGAGATGGATTCACTGCCAATTATACATTTTTCGACACCTCTACAGGTAAATATATAAATGCCTCATTTTGAGCAATGGGTATAAATTTATATTACTTTTCATTTTGTTATTGTGCAGTGATTAATTGACTGAACTGCTATATGCATATGGATGATAATATCATACCATTAATGGTTTTGTCGTTAATGCATTAATAACAAATGCATTCGCTATTAATATAAGAATAACATAATGATATAATAAAACAATATAAGAATAATATAACAATATAATAAAATAAGAAATAAAATAAAATTTTAAGAATATAAGATATAAAAAATACGACTAATACAATAATATAAGAATGTAAGAATAATATAAGTTACATATAATAATATAATAATGTTATAATAATATTAGCAGTAGTAACATAAGAATATGAGAATAAATATTAGGAATGGTATAAGAACATAAGAATAATATAAGAAATAAATTAAAGAATAATATATAATAATATAAGAATAATATAATAATAATATAAGAATAATATAATAATAATATAATGATAATATAAGAATAGTGTAATAATATAAGATAAGAATGACAGTCATTTTACTAAAATGTAATGGATTCGATTTCCAAGATTTTTAATATTTCTTCAGCGCAGCAAAAATTGGTGAAAATATAAATTTTGTATCACAGTTTTCAGTATAAAAATTCATGGGTATTTTGTACATGCTGTTCTACTATGTGAAAGCTGCATAATTAAATTACCAAATGTGCACTATTCTGAAAGCAAAAGCAAAGTAATATTTTTATTGAATTTTACTGACTGATATTTGTTGCCGTTACTGACGTTATTAAATCTTTCTAAAATTCTTGCTATTACTGATCTTCTGATTTAGCTTTTCCCACTATAAATTCTAAAATTAGGAAAATATGTTATTTTATCGACGTCGGTTTAATGTCGATTAGGTGATACTTAATTAAAATAAATATTTCTATCACAGCTCACTAAATTTTTGTCTTACTGTACGTCCAGAGAGATAGAGTTATTGTACACTGCTGAAATAAATTATGAGAATTTTCATATTTGATCTAAGATCTCCAGAACTACTAGACAGATTGTAATAAAATTTCGTCTGAACATAGGTTGATATAATAGAAACAAAATAAACATTCAACAGTTTATACACACATACTGATGTACAACACTCATGGGACTCTGAAGGTCTGAAACAGTGGTTGCAGAAGGCACAAAAGAAATGGGTTAATAGGGGGTATGGTCCCCTCTTACAGGCCTCGCAGCGTGGCGTTATGTCATACTGGAAATAAGGCAGTTTATCAGCGCCTGTGGCAATCGGTCACACTCATTCAGCAACGATGTTTTCAGTTCCTGGATGGTTCTCGGAGGGGGTTTGCGTGTTGCAGTTGCCCTCCCCAGAGCGTCCCAGACATGCTGTATAGGGTGAAGTCTGAAGGCTGGCTGGCCAATCCTTCCGGCGAATATCTTCACTCTCGAGAAATTCGTCAACTGGAAGAGCTCTATGTGGCATCTCGTTATCGTCCTGTAAGATGAACTCGGGGCCTACTGCACACCGGAAAAGGCGAACATAAGGCTCCAAGACCTCATCCCTATACCGCCTTCCAATCACAGAGCCTCTGTGAAAGATGTGGAGAGGTATGCGGCCATCCACCATGATGCGTGCTCGGACCATTACACCGTTACCTCCATAATTGTTGATTTCGTTTGACATTAAAGGGTAGGTAGCGGATCCGTGTCTCTCTTCATATGAAAGTACGATGAGAATCGGTGTTTAGTCTAAAACGGGTCTCGTCGGTTAACAGAACGGTCGCCTATTGCTCCGTACTCCAATCACTATGCTGCCTGCACCATGCTAATTGGACTCTCCTGTCCGTAGACGTGAGCATGACGCAAACAGCCGGCCCTTCTGGCAAATAACCCTTTCTCATTCAGTCTTTTGGAAACAGTCACCCTTGTTACACGGGTTCCTGTGGCTGCATAGAGGTCCCGAGAGAGCTGAGAAGCTGTAGCCCCTCTGTTATGCCTCCCTAAAATGGAGAAATAGCGATCTTCTTTGGCCGTCGTGGCTCTTGGACGACCTTGCCCAGGCTTTCTCTCGATGGATCCAGTAGCCTGGAACTGTTTCTATAGGTTAAACACGACGCTGGGCTTTAAATTAAACTCTCTGCATATCTGGACTTGCGAATGGCCTGCCTCTAGCTTTCCCACAATTCACCACCTCATTCCAACATCTACACTTTCGTGGCTTCTCATTTTTACTGTTCCGATGTGAATTTAACCGATTGCTCCCAGATAACACCAAGATATTCGCCGAGATATGTTAGGGAACGCAATTCGTCTTACCCTCCACGCGCTTATAAAGCCTGTTTTTATGCTAGCTCCGCCTACATGCAAGTGTACGCTTACGTATTTGCCGTATAAGATTTGCATTTTTGTCTAGAAGCAGTGATTTTTCCTTCAAATCAGTTTTTTTCATGCAATTCGGTAAAATATAATTACCTCTTAATTTATTTTACCAGTGTATTTCCCATATGCTGTCATTTTAATGAATGAACAGCAGTATTATTTTCACTGGAAAACTGATTTACTAAGATGAATATTTTCCACCGAATTAATGCAAAATACATCGGATGATTCATGGACAAAATAAAAAATGAAAAGTAATTTGTAAGAGTTTATATTTTAGCAATCGCGAAAAGGGATTTGCTAAGGTTCTTTTATGCTCTCATTGAGCTCTCAGAGCACCTGTCTGCCGTTACACTCACTCCTGTTGCCTTTATTATTAAGCACCACTTTCTTTGAACTTATGGTATATAAAATTCAACCGCAAAATTATAAAAAATTTAAAAGCAGCATAACAGCACATGTTTAGAATTCCCGATGCAGTGTTAAGTGTTGGCATGCTTTTCCTCCTTTTTGTCTTTTTAGTCTTTAAATTAGGTTTAATAGTAATGAGGTTTATCATATGATTGTTCCGGTGTTTAGTGAGATGGCTTGGAAAACGTTTCTTCGTTTTAATTATTAACGTTCTGTGTGCTAACTTCATTTATTAAACATCACGTTTTCCACACTTAAGCCACTAAAAATTTCATTCAACAGCAAAATGACAAAATATTTAAAAACAGCATATCTTTAGGATCTCCGATATCTCGCCCGTTGAAATAAAAATGTTTTATTCCGCGCAGAGTTGCCATTGCTCGCACTGAAATCCTTGAGTCTGTTAATAAAAAATTCGTTAAAGTTTAAAAAAAAAAAAAAAAAATCTGAAATTTTTCAGATTTTAAATTACGTCCAAAGGGGCGTTTTTTTAACGTTTTGAGTGTTACCTTTATTTATTAAATATCATGTTCTTTGCACTTAAACCATAAAATTCAGTTCAAGAGCAATATCGCAAAATAATGTTAAATTAAGCATATCTTTAGAATTTCCGATATACACAGTCTCGCGAGCTGGAGATAAAAGTATTTTTTTTTCTATATAACGTTGCCATTTCTCGCTTTTAAAGCATTGAGTTGTAAATCAAAAATTCGTTAAAGTTTTACAAAACATAAAATCTATAATAAAACAAATTCCAAATTTGGGATTTCAGATGCCCATATTCGCAGTAGGATTTCGTCATTCAAAATTCGATGGCTGTATGTACCATTGTTTTATCACAATGCGAGAAATAGACAATCATTTATGCAGATTTTTCATTATTTAATTTCTTCAAATATAATGCAGGACTCTAACATTTTGTGGCAACAGTTTGAAAAGTGAACCGACGTTTATCCGTCCGACGCAAAATGCCAAAACGAAACTAATAGTCCTTCGGGATTCAAATCCCTTTGGACTAAAAATGTAAAATTCGAAATTCGGGCTTCCAGGTGCACATGTTCCGGGGGTGGGGAGGAAAACGCTAATGGAAATTTAATGGCTCTAGGTACCATCGTTTCTTCATAATGCGAGAAAGATGCCTACGTACATGATTCTTTATCATTTATTTCTTTAAAGATAATGCAGGGCGATAGTTATTAGAAGCAACAATTTGAAAATTAATTCGCCGTTTATAGTGGTCGACGCAAAATCCTGTTTTGGGACAAGTAGCCCATTTGCGCTGACGCGTTTTCAGTCTAAAAATAGATGTTCCTTAACTTTCACAACCCGCGCGATAAAACGCCAAATTATATAAACTGAAGGAAATCATAATAAGCTTTTTTTTTTTCAGTTTAAACATTTATGTAAAAAAGAATAGTTTCTGTTTCACTTTCGACTTCTACTTGCCGAATTTGATAAACAACTTAATGTTGTAGTAGTCAGTTTTCAGTTTGAATATTGTGCAAAAACGCTGACAATTTTTAATTTACTGAGGAGTGAGGAAAATGCCTTTTCATATTTCTAGGAAAAACTATATTAACTCGCAGTTAAATAGGATTAAATGGCCACGAAATGAAATTACATGTAAATGAAAGTACGAGATGATGCAACTTGAAAATTTGTAATCAATAGTAATAAAAAAAGAGCTTTCGATTTGACAACTGGTTTACTAGTTCCACAGTACCATTCCTCACAGCACTGCGTTTCATGTACTGTTGTGCAAAGAAACTACAGAGGCTGTTTGCACATATTTTAGACGATTTTGGTAAGCGGTAATAAAAAATCGTTTGCTGCAAAAGAAGTAATTGCAATTGTACTACTATGTTTTTAAAAGTCAAAATTATCGTCTGTGGCTTGAAAGTTTTGTTTTTATTCAAAATGGCGAATTTAACAAAGCAGTGGTTCGAAGGCTACATTTACGCTCTTTCCGAAGAGAAATATGCATACTCTGTTATCGAAAAACGATGTGAGAGTCATGGTTTTGTGATATCCAAAGCGTCGATAGGTAATATCATCAACAAGAAAAAAAAGTCAAATTGGAGCCTCAAGTGGGACAAAAATTCCAAACAAGTATCCAAGGAAAAAACGGACATCTTCGACTATTGCAAAGGTACGTTGTTAATGTTAAAAGAAAATCCCCCTAGTCAAAGGGACAGTTGCAAAATCATTAAAATGCTCGGTGTCCACTGTAAACAAAATGATAAACGTTGATTTAAATCTTAAGAAAGCGAAAAACGCAATGTGCATCGTCTTCTTCCAAAGCATATCGCTCAACGCAGGACACGCTGCAGAATTCTATATGAGAAACACTTATCCAAAGAAAAATGGAAAACAATTGTCACAATAGATGAAGCATGGGTGTATTTAAATGATTGTAACAAAAAAAGAGCCATTTATTATCATAAAAGGGAGAAAAAATTTAAGTACATGGTTCAAAGAATCGAAAGAAAGTTTTTCTAAGGGATTCATGATTGTTGCTGGTTTTTCTTATAATGGCAAGTTAAAAATAAAGAGAGTGCAAAAAAATGTCAAGATTAACTCCAAATACTACCAGGAACATATTTTATCGCCAATTTTTCTGAATGAAATACCATCGCTTTACCCGCAGTGCCATCCATCTGTGAAACTCCATCAGGACAAAGCTAGCAGTCACACATCAAAATCCACTGTAAATTTTCTAAAAGAAATGGAACAAAAAACTGGTATCAAGGCCATACCCTTCACTGATATCCGTACTAAATCTCCCGATGTGTCACCTATGGATTTTTGTGCTTTCGGACTTTTAAAAACTGCATTATCCAAACGCTGTCCCAAAATCCTAACAGGACTCTGGAAAGCTGTTCGGGAGGAATGGGATCTTCTGCCACTTCAAAATGCATTAAACTCCTGGAAATTGCGGTATCGAAAGATAGTTCAGAATAAGGGATGTCAAATAGAACATTGAAAACACGAGAATTTTATGTAATTTAGTTTTGTGAATACAATATGCATCGTCAGCCTCTGTAACGTCGCTTAAGTGGTGCTGTAAAGAGCTAAACATGTGTCAAAACATACGATTGACTGGAACAATTTATTGTGAGAGGTTTGTTCGCTATATTTACTTCAGCAACGTAAAGAACGAATAGGTAAGCCTGCGAAAATAGTTGAAGTTGGTGAGAAATTGGTGGTGCGGGGAAAAGCAGCCCTGGCTGGTACATCTACATCAGTTTTGGATATTCGGCTGATTACGCTATGCATGTAGTGAGTGCGTTTTTGTTCAGGTTCCAAATTGGGAAGCAAGTACACTGATATTAACAATTGTAGACCACGGGGTGGAAAGATCGATTGGGAAGCAAGTACACTGATATCAACAATTGTAGACCACGGGGTGAAAAGATCGATAACGTATTCAGATTGTCAAAAATACAAGCCTGTGGAGCAGACTATCTTGAAATGGCTGGTGACAAGCATTTAACAATAAATCACAAATTTTATTTTGTGACTCTATAATTGGTGAGTGCTTTTAAAGTGTGGAAAGATTGTAGGACTCTGTTAAATGGCGAAACAAAAGGCAAAGGTGTACGGCTCGACATCACCTACAGTCTTGTCTTTCGGAATTCATGTGGCCGAAATTCTCTGGAAAATATTGATGTCATACTAAACGCAAGCGCAGAGATATGGCAGCCACAAGCTATATGCGAATAGTTTAAACTTGGGGACGTTTCGATAACAGGAGCATAAAAATCAAGCAGTATCGCGAAACGTATTTCGAGGTTCCTTTAAGAATTTTCTATCGGTTTTAAGAAGCAGCTTTCAAGGATAGGCCTATCTTTTTTATTTCAAAAAATAGTCGGTAAGAATGAAGAAATAAAATTCGATTGATATTCTGCCGTCATGGCTTAAATTGGCTTTAAAAGGCCCTGGTTAAATTCTATGGAATTGTATGGCCATGGTTTAAATTGTATGGAACGTAATTTTCTGTGCATTTTGAGTAGTCGTTGTATATAGTTTGCAAATAATCTCCACATCTCAGGATTCGTCGAAGAAACCCACCTGACGAGCTCTCAAGCCCCCCCCGCTGGTCTGCTTTCAAGAGACAAAGTGCTCCAAACTTCTTCCCCGACAATCCACCTCATCTAGAGGATATACTTAATTGCGGATTTCACAAAGGTTCAAGCCCTAAACGGGAATCTCTAAGGTATTGGTAAGAGCAGGGAAAAATATCTCCCGCTGTAAACCAGTATACCCACAAAGTATCAAAGTATCTTAATTGCGGATTTCACAAAATTCAGGCCCTAAACGGGAATCACTAAGGTATTGGTAAGAGCAGGGGAAAATATCCCCTTCTGTAAAATAGTATACCCACGAAGTATCAAAGTATCTTAATTGCGAATGTCACAAAGTTCAGGCCCTAAACGGGAATCTCTAAGGTATTGGTAAGAGCAGGGAAAAATATTTCCTGCTGTAAACCAGTATACCACGAAGTATCAAAGTATCTTAATTGCGGATTTCACAAAATTCAGGCCCTAAACGGGAATCACTAAGGTATTGGTAAGAGCAGGGAAAAATATCCCCTTATGTAAAATAGTATACCCACGAAGTATCAAAGTATCTTAATTGCGAATGTCACAAAGTTCAGGCCCTAAACGGGAATCTCTAAGGTATTGGTAAGAGCAGGGACAAATATTTCCTGCTGTAAACCAGTATACCCACGAAGTATCCAAGGCCTAAATTGGTTTACGTCATGGCTTAAAATTTCTTTTGTCATGGTATGAAATATGGGAAAACTGTCGTTCTGGTTAGTATGGAAATGTGTGAAAAATTCAGATTTTAAATTAAATAAAACTAATAATCAAGTTAAAATCCATTTTATAACGTTAACTTTCAATATTGAAGAAGAGAGAAACAGCTTTCTTGTTCATGAAGGAAAAATATTATGCATATAAAGGGTTTAAAGAATAGGTTTAAAATCTCGTAGATCAGAGTTCTTCGTTTTATTCGAGATACGAAATAATTGTTTTGTTCATTAAAAGTCTGTAAAGATTATCAAGGCTACATAAAGTATTACAGGTATAAATTAAATTTATTATTATATTTCGACCGTCTCAAGCGCAACCCTGATTGTCATTCTGCCAAAACGCATAGACTCGTCTAAAAGGGGCGCTATTACTTGCTGCGACGTGAAAGGCCTTCTCTTGTCCGGAAAGAGCTATAATGGAGGGAAAGAAAGTCCCCATCCTCCCACACTATTTTGAGAATAATTCGGTCTGAATGGCGCATGCGCGTTTGCGCTCACGGTCGCGGATGAGGCGGTCGAACTATAATTGCTTCCAAATGAAGTAGAAGTTCTATTTTATAATAGCATTTCCATCGATGGATAATTGTTGCTCAGGGTGCATGAAAAAAATTAACAGTGTAACTTGTTTGAATTATTATCTAATTATATGTAATTGAGATTTAAGTAGAATTCCAATTCCTGTTTTTTGTATTTTAAATTTCAATTAATTAATAAAAAAGTACCAAGTTCTAATTTTTCTCTTTTTTATAGAATGTGGCGGAACTTACTATCAAGAATCTGGAGTAATTCGTTCTCCTGGGTTTCCAAATAACTACCCAAGCAATTCTAAGTGCGTATGGATAATTCAAGCAAAGCCATACAGACAGATTATTCTTAATATCACCCATTTCAGATTGGAAACTGGAACGATATGTACATACGATTATTTAGAAATAAGGTGAGTAGGAGCAATCATTTCTGAATAAAATTACAGGTTATATTGCAAATACAAAGTCAATCGCTTTCAATTATTGCTTTCTTAGCAATAATTTCTTAGCAATTACTTCAGCCCTCTCATTTCACAACGAGCACTCCTGTGCATTTACTCAACTGAAGATAGTATTATATTTCTTGGAGCGCTCGTAATAATTTTCCTTTCCAAAATTAGTTCATTGGACAGGTCTGAGTAGGGGAAAGCTGCAGAGCAGAAAGACTATAAGTGTAAATATTTATATTATGACTATTATTACCCTTTGATCGACAAGGTCTAGACTACTTTTGTGACCTCTTAAGAAAGTATATATGCGTGGATCTTAAAATATGTCCAAGAAATTAGGGTGATGTTATCAGGTTCAATGTTTCTTCTAACCTTCTTCGGAAACATACAATGACCTGACTAGGAACAGAGAGCTTACTAAAGCTATGTTCACTAATTGTAGTAAGTAGACAGGGATACAGACGAAGGGTATACAAAACCCTTTATTTTCTTTATATACAATGACTTCCGTACTCGGAAATACAATGACCCTCCACTCGGGGTCTAACGTAAAAGGTATAAAATAAAAATAAACTTAATTTAACTTTAGAATAACACACGTGGAAGATTGGCCTTATAATAACAGGAAAGCGTATGTAGCACAGAGGACTGTGAACACTACAATACGTTTAATTTATCAAGAGGATTTAAAACCTTGGCCTGGAAGGCAAATAGCAACTGCGTAACTTCTAAGGTAAGCGGGCTGCTCGAACTCCTGCTTCCTCCTCTTTCGCTTGGCAAAAAGGCCACACTTAAATACTTGGCGTTCGCCAGACAAACTTTGCATAAAATCCTTAACGCTTATAATTCTGGCCGGAAGTAGAAAATAAGAAGTGATAGTAAAGATTTAAAATAAAATAAACGTTAATAAAACTTAAGATCCTTACAATGTATCTAAAAAACATAAATATGTGTATTACGTACCAGTGGTATTTTGGCCATAGAATCACGAACATACCCCTTTCTCATGCTAGTGTTTGGAAATTTAGGCTTACTAAGCAAAATAAGAGGATCAAGTCCTGTTTGGGTCCATTTCGTTGCGTATAAGGCAGCTGCCGCCTTTGCTTGGAAAACTACATTATACATGTTCAATTTACATTTTCGTGATCGGTTTCAGTGACATAACAATCTATTACCAAGCAACTCTTTCCCATACGAGACCCAACTGTATACATACTGATCTTTTCTCAAATATTCTAAATAATTGTCGTATAATGGAATATTAACTTTTGACATTGCATCATAATGAAAATACGCCTTAGCAGCAAATACACGCCTATAATCAGTTCATAGTTTATTCAGTTTTATTTGTTTCCAAACTGAATTTAGTTTAGAATTACATGCACTAATTAACATTTTTAATTTATACTCGAAAATGATGTTTAACTACTCATGTCCATAATTTAAGGATAATGCAAAATCAGGCAAAGGAAGAGTTAGAAGCAAAACAAATTTGACTTATTTGTAAAGCTCATTTATTAAACAAAAGGTAAAGAGCAAAAAAAGATGCTATATGTTTGATATTATTAAAAAAATTAGCTATTTTTTCTCCCTATTTATGGAGAAAATTACAAAAAAAACCTATTTACAAAAAACCAATATTACATGGTTGGTAGGATTGTTAGTACATTGTATGTCTCCCAGACGATGCAATACAGTCCGTACAACGCCTAGGCATGCTGAGTATCAAATTATCGATCTGATCTTGGGGGATATTACGCCACTCAAAAAGCAATGCTCTCCGAAGTTCCGCTAGACATGTAGGAGGAGGTTGACGGGCTGGAACTCGTCGGCCAAGCATGTCCACACGTGCTTTACTGGATTCAAGTTCGGTGAGAATGCTGGCCAGTCCATACGGGTGATATCCTCCGATTCAACGCATTCGCTTACGATGTTTGCACGGTGAGGACGGGCGTTGTTATCCATAAACACAAATTGTGCGCCCATGGTGCCCCGAAGCAAACGTGCATGTTGTTCCAGAATGACGTCCCGATAGATTTGGCTTGTCATGGTTCCAATTTGAACATGCAGGTCAGTTCTGGAACCCAGAATAATTCCACCCCAAACGAGCACTCCTGCACCACCGTAACGGTATCGTTCAATGATGTTTTCTTGGTGGTAACGGGTACCTGGAGCTCTCCATAAGAAAGTCCGGCGAGAATCAGACTGCAAGCTAAACCTGGACTCGTCGGAAAACATCACACAAGCCCACTGTTGCGGTGTCCACAATGCATACTCTCTACTCCAGGCTAACCGCAGGCGACAGTGAGTTGCAGTAAGTGGAACGCATCTGACAGGTCTACGAGCATATAGACCAATCTGCCCTAAGCGTCTGTACACGGTCTGCCATGAAATTGTCGTACCAGTGGCTGAAGACAGCTGACGAGACAGATCTGAGGCTGTGCTCCGCCTGTTTCTTTTGGCAGTAACTGCCAAATACCGGTCCTCATTCGGCGTTGTAACTCTCTGGCGACCTGTGCTGTAACGTCTACTCACATTACCATCATCTTGGAATCGTTGCCAAAGCCTGGAGATGACACCCTGGGCAATTCCAAGTTCGTCTGATACTTCCAGTTGGGTACGCCCACATTCCAGACGGCCGATAATTCTACCACGTAAACAATCATCCAAATGCGTCCTTTGTATCATAACTATTCGGTTATTGCACTGAAATGCTTATAAAGTACCTGCGAACAATTTTACTTCTTTGCCTGTGTTCCTTATATATCACTCTCTTACACTCTCGTCATTGTGACGTACCATCGGCGTCATCTGGTTACTTCCTGAAATTTGCATATGATTCTTGAAGATATGTGTAGTGATTTTACAGGTGATATATTTATTTTAGAGTTCGATTTCCGCTTGACTCCGAATTATCCTTAATTTATGGACATGAGTGTATTTGTTTCTTGTACAAATCGGCAGTTCTCTTTTATTTTTTTCCAAGCATTGTGTAACAGCTTATATTTATATATCAAACAAATCCCGTTGTATTTTTCTTATATGAGTTTCGTTTACCTTTTTCATTAGTATTCTTATTCAGTTTAATTTATTGATTTTTCCCCCATTGTATCATAAGTTATTTCATCTTTTAACTACATTATTGTTCATTGTTCTTTAATGTGATAAAAGCTTTTTTTATCCTTTAGCGTTTTTTTTAAAAATTATTTTCCTCTAATTTAAAAACAGATTTTATTGATTACATTTTCATTGCATTGCACTCCATTGCATTTTGCATGTTTCAAACAGCAATATTAAATACAAAAATTACAATAAAAAGGGGAAATATAAAGAAAAAATACATTTCTAATGACACTGAAAAGTTTGTGAAATTAAACTAATGTAAAATTGCTAAGATTTCACTGCTGAGGGAAACGAAAGGGAATTTACGAAACCCCAAAGTTGGGAGGCGCGAAGGTCATCTCGCATAAGTGGCAAGGGAGGTTATTCAGACAATGACTATCCTCTGAGGGATGGGGGGGAAAGGAAATTCACCGGGCGATACTTCGGCCACAGCAGTCTTTTCGAGACACTGCAGCTCTGGCCAATTCTTAGGCCACCCGTCTTTTAAAGGTTAAAAACGAAGCCTTCTGAATGGAATCTGATTTTGTTCTTAATGTTACTGTGATAAGGTGGGATAAATGTTCTTTGTCGAGGGTGAGTGATTTTAGAGTGCAATAGTTTTCATATCAGTGGTGAAATTCTATGACTGTGTTAATGATTCCGGTTGCAGCCTGGAGGGTTACTCCGGTGGAAAAAGAGATAAAAGAAGTATTTTCATCAGGGTCACGAGATGGACACTTTGTTATGTATGAATGAAAGAATCTTTCCTCCCCGGGAGTTCAGCGCAAGTAAACACAAGGAGATATATAAGGTGGTTTCCTGAGAAGAGGGGAGAAACTTTCCTGTTTAGAGCTATGGACATGTTGGCCTTGCGTTAGAGCATTTTTCCTGTAACAAAATTCTGAATTTACGGGATAAATATGTCCAAGTCTCATATTGTCAAGATAAGCAACTGTTAAGGTTTTCATCTTATTAAAATTCATGAGATTGTTAAAACTTGAGTTTGCAGTTCATTTCAACCTGGTGTCACAACCCAGGCTTTGCGTAGCGGTTTCGGCCACTACACCACATTGCCATTTCCGCCGGGATTCCACGAAGCTATGCGATATACGAAAAAAAACATTGTTCCGAATTGCTCTTAGATGGCAATTTTGGTGGCCAGCAAATTGCTAGAAAGAGTTTTCCATTAGTTATTCAAAATGTTTTCAGTTTTCAAATGTAAAATTTAAACTGAGTAAGAAAATTTGTCCAACGCAACACCTAGGTATTTTATTTCGACTCCTTGAATCGAACGGTTTGTTCGCAGTATTTAAGTCTTGCAGATCTACTTAGCCACCCAGAGGGAAAAAATTGCATGTTGAATATCGTTTTCTGTGTTGACTTTAATTGGCTAATCTTTGGAATATGGTAACGGATAGTTTCACGACATTTTGGTAAGGCGATAAAGGTTACTAGCTAGGACTTTAGCAGTATACATGGATAAAGTCAAGAGTGTGCGCAATGCCATTTTTGTGCAATTCTGGGATGTTTTTTTAAGTGAAAATAGGTAGACGTGTACATGGATGATACCGTGTATGTGCAATTCTTAAAAACGCGGCAAGCAGTGGGCGGTTCTGCACTTTGTCCCAATTTCGCACCTAATCTTCGTCATGATTAAGCACTTTTGTTCCATAAAATTTCTAGCATAAGCGTAATTCTGCTAGCAGATTGTTGGGAAAAAAAAATGTTGAGTCAAAAAAAAAAAAAAATGCCTTTACTTCGTGAAAACAAAATGGCGTCCAAACAAAAACTAGCAGGTTGCTGTAGCAGGGTTGGTCGCCAAATTTTCGCCAAAAAATTGCCAAGTTACCATAATTCAAAAATTAACCATAATTCAAAGAAGAATCTTTAATTAATCTTTAATCAAAGATTTAATTAAAGATTCTTCTTTGATGTCGCATATCTCTAGAATTATTTTAGTTCGCTAAAACGTTTTTCGATTTCCTCTACGGATTTCCCTTCCATAAGACTAGGATATCGTTGATAAAAGAATAATTTCGTTGCTTTTTATACGGAAGTTAGTTTGCTTTGAAGTGCTATGAGGATATGATACAGCGGAGCACTACATGACCCTTGAGAGCTGCTGTTGTGAACATTCATAATTATATTTTTTCCTTTTTCGATTGAATCATACATAAATTTGTTATGTTCAAAATAGTTTATAATGATCGAAAAAATGTTCTTTGGGTTACCCAAGTTAATTAATTGATGAACAAGGAAAGACCATTTAATCAAATCGAAAGCACTGCTCTCGAGGTCAAAGGCACAGCAGCCAGTCAAGCAAGACTTAGACCACATGCTGTTGTTTCCTATTTTTAATGTCATTTACAGCATAATGCATCCTCTGTATTAAACTGAACTATCTCGCTGAAAGATAATGTTTCAAACTCAGCATTCATGAATTTTCCCAAGGATTATTGTCAATCTTTCCCTTCTTGTCAAGAACCTTCCCAAAGACCTTCAAAAGGTAGGCCGTTGGGTAGTTTTCGTTGGTCTTTGGAATTAATACGTAGCGGAATTTTCTTTAACTGAAAGTTTTCTGACCTTCGGAAATAGGAAATATGGAATAGAAAAGACTCTTGTGTATAAGAGTTTGAAATAGGCGGGATTGGTTCATTTATCTCTTTCGTAATTACAGCATGCATTCCGTTGAGCCCGTGGGATGTTTTAATGCACATTTGTAAGATGGGCGCAATTATCTCGTTTGAAGAAAAGTCCTTGTCATTTTCTGTACGTTCATCTAATCTTTCTAAAGCTTGAGCTAACTGCTGTCTTGGAGGCCCGGTGGCGCAATGGCTAGCGCATCGCGCAGCACCACCACCGGTCGGAGGTTCGATCCCCGGGCTGGGCAAGCCTTTCATCCCTTGATTTAAATCGCTTGGGTCAATAAAATGAGTATTACGTTCGCTTGGGGACTAAATACTGGGGGACCTTGCGACAAGCTGACCACTTGTTCAGGGCATATGCTTTTATGCACACCGGGGCTGACGGTCAAGAAAGCAGATGTGTGTGTTTTTTCCGTTCAGTCACTTAATCAATTTTTTTAAATAACATTTTCTCTTGGATATGCTCGCCCCCCCCATTAGTGTGCTCTCGCCCCACAAGTTGAGAATCACTGACTTAAACCATAAAATTTGCGTGTAACCATTTTTCGTGTTACCTTTATTTGTTAAATATCATGTTAATCACTTAAACCATAAAATTCAGTTCAATAGCAATGTCGCAAAATAATTTGAAAATGAGCCTATCTTTAGAATTTCCGATACACAGTTCCGCGCGCTGGAGATTAAAAGCTTTTTTTCCCCGTACAGTGTAGCCATTTCTCGCTTTGAAATCCCTGAGTTCGTTAATCAAAAATTCTTTAAAGTTTTACAAAATAGGAAATCGATAATAAAACAAATTCCAAATTCCAAATTTGGTCTTCCGCATGCCCAGGAGGATTACATCGTTCAAAATTCGATGGCTCTAGGTAACTTTGTTTTATCACAATGCGAGAAATATACATACATTTATGCAGATTTTTCATTATTTAATTTCTTCAAATATAATGCAGGACTCTAACATTTGGTGGCAAGAGTTTGAATAGTGAAACGGACATTTATAATGATTCAACGCAAAATCGCAAAACGAAAGCAATAGTCCTTTACTGCGCTAGACAGCTATGGAAGAGATTCAACTAGTAACGTGGCCTTCAGCAGGCTGAACACGCTCTGATTCAAGAATCTAAAACCTTCCTTCAAATGCTGCTCCTTTCTACCTCGTTTCAATGCGCGCGATTTAAAATTTGCTTTTTATCAGGGAAAAGGAAAACGAGAATGACAGTAAAGCTATTTCGCATAAATAAGTAAATCCGTACAAAGTTATCAGCATGAAAAGTTTTAATCAACATATTTTTACACTAAAATTAAATTTTAAGATGCCTCAAGTCTAAACCATTTAGTGTTTAAGAATGTATAAAAGAGTTTCTGTCAAATTCTGGATTGTAATTAATATAGATCTGACTGTTGATCTTCACCATTTACATCTTTTCTTCTGTACTTAATATATATTATTTTTTAAAACTAGAAATGGAGGCTCTCAAGTATCGCCTTTGATAGGAAAATACTGTGACCAGATTGGCCATGAAGTTAAATCGCACAGCAATATGTTATGGCTGAAATTCGTGTCAGATTATATCGTAGAGAGTACAGGTTTCGAAATATTCTTTGAGTCAACATCTGTTGGTAAGTAATCAATAATATTTCAAGATTTTAAAACCTGAAAATAAAAGCACATTTGCCGTTGCTTTATAGGACTTTAATTAACAGAGATTATTATTTCTCAAAATTTAATTGTGTTCTATGGGAAATCAAAGATTGCTACAGATCAGCGATTTTCAACCGGTGGTACGCAAAGAAACAAGGTAAATAAAATTATTAAAGGCTCTACTCTTATATGCGCCCTAATGTTACCAAATGTGGCGATATGTGTTCTGCGCTGGTTTTTGGCGCGATTGCGTGTTTTATGGAAACCCTGTTGACGTTGAAAAATCTTTTGCTAGAGTGGTTTAATTGCTCATTGGTTCGTGTCGTGCGGGTTTTGAAATGGTCTACGTTGCAATGATAGACGTGGCGGCAAGATTTCAGTCGCGTATTTTAGATTGTGTGAAAAGTAAATTTAGTATTAAAAGGTACGACGTTGGAATTGTTAACGAGTGTTTTGTTCACGGGTGTGTTTATGAGGACAATTGTTCGAAGATCGGTAGTGTTTGGAATTATCTGTCGGAGTTTTTTTAAAACGGAAGTAGTCCGAAATGCGAAGCTGCTATGAGAACTCGGACGAAGAAGGGCGTTTCTGATAGTTCTTGTGTGGATTTCGAGTTAAATGCTTGCTGATAGAGTATATGACTGTCAGCGGAGTTCAAGATTTGGACTGTGATTTTGGTGCAGTAAGTCAACTTTGGAGAGAGTTTTTATCGTTGCTTTCGAAATTTTGAATCTCAGAAAGACATGTGATATAGCAAAATCGTGGCACTTTTGTTCAGAGACGTTGTGTGACTAGCGAAATTTTATTCAGGAATGTATTATGGTAAGTGCATTTTATTTTACTATTTTTATTTTGTAGAATGTTATGTTTATTGTTTTTTTACTATGAATTTCTGTTGTTATTGTTGTTTTTTGAATTGTCTGTAATTTAGTTTAGTTTATTTGGTTCACCTGTGCGTAATGCCCAGATCGTGCAACTCGTAGATTTTTTTTTTTTTTTTTTAAGCTTAAACGGAATGCTGTGTACATGGTATTCTTTGAAATTTATTGTTGTTATGTTAATTTATTGAAGCTAGGTGTACGTAGTTCGTAGATTCCTTCGCTGCCTAGAATGTGCTATTCGTAGTTTTTATTTAAGTTAAAAGGTATTGCTGTGCACATGGATTCTTGTCAAATGTTTTTTTTTTGGTTAGAAACTTTACGTTTTTGCTATCTAAATTTTTTGTTTTTGTTTCGGATTTTTAGCTTAAATTGTATCTTCAAAACGTGGTTTTTGCATGTGCGAAAGCCGCGTTTGAGACAGTTTAGGCTTAAAATTCGAAATGCAGACAATAAAATAGCGGCGTAGAGTTCTCGCCAAAAATGTTTGGTGAGAAATTTGGCGACCTGAGGGCGCATATAAGAGTAGTTCCATATTAAATTACTATTAATAAATAACTATTAAATTCAAAAATTAAATATCCCCAAATCCCGTTTTTCTCTAATACTCGTAAATTTATGCGATTTGAACTTTGCGCAGGATCAACAGCCGCTCATATAATTTAGCAAAATAATTTGTTTTTATTTTCACAAATATTCTTTTAGCCAGAGACATAACAAAATTTGTCATATATGATGTATTTAAAAGGAGTAATAGAAACGGGTTCGTATTTAGTAGGAAATGAAAGTTTCTATAAAAAGTTAGTATCACACTGATTCTTTTAGATTTGATCAATTTATTAGCATGTCTGCACTTTATGTCATCACCATTTCCTGATCATATTGCTCCATTTTCAATCAGAGTATTTTTTTACTTCGATTTGCTTCTCTAACAACAGTTTTTGTCTTCCTGTTGCTTTGCGATTTCAGAATATCGTCGTTTGTTTTTGAAGATCTCGTAATATACTGTGCATTTCAATATTTGTGATGAAATAGTAAAGTAAACTTAAATTTTCAAAATGGAAAAATGGCTGGGATTATAAAAACCGGAAAAGTAATGATTCACAGTTCATGAATCGAGGACAATCTAGCATTATAAATACTGAAAAGGAAAAAAAAATGTTTATAGAAAATATAATGAAAGTTATTTATCATTTGCGTTTAAGTGGAACGAAGATGGAATGGACCCTCAATCTCGATGTGTTGTTTGCGGTGAACTAACTATCATCCAATAAAAGTATGAAACCATTCTTTCTCAAAAGACTTCTTGAATCTTTCCTTTTTCTCAATGGCGGGCAAAAGTCATCATAGACGACATCTTGAATCTAAGCATGCCAATTTAAAGGATAAACCTGAAGAATATTTTAAGAGGAAATTATCGGAGTTCAAAAATCGTAAACAAGTAATGAGAGATTTGTTACTATGAATAAGAAAGCGGCTAATCTTCGGAATATGGTAACAGGTATTTTGGCGACATTTTGGTAAAGAGATAAAGGTTGCTAGCTAGGACTTTAGCAGTGTACATGGATAAAGTCAGGACTGTGCGCAATGCCATTTTTTGCAATTCTAGGATGTTTTTTTAAATGAAAATAGGTCGACGTGTACATGGTTACCGTGTATGTGCAATTCTTAAAAACGCGGCAAGCAGTTTGCGATTCTGCACTTTCTCCCAATTTCGCACCTAATCTTCGTCATGATTAAGCACTTTTGTTCCATAAAAGTTCTAGCATAAGCGTAATTCGGCTAGCTGATTGTTGGAATAAAATGAGTAAAAAAAAAAGCCTTTACTTCGTGAAAACAAAATGGCGTCCAAACAAAAGCTAGCAGGTTGCTGTAGCAGAGTTGGTCGCCAAATTTTCGCCAAAAAAATCGCCGAGTTACCATAATCCAAAAAAGCTTTAGAAGCTAGTTAGTTACCTAGCAAGCCTAAGAATTGCCAACAGTGGGCAGGCTCATACTACCGAAGAAAACCTCGTATTACCAACAAATAAAGATATCGTTTTAGCATATTCAACGAAAAAGCGGGTAATGAACCTGTAGATACATTAGATAATTTGTTTTGCAAGTAGGAGTGTGACAATTAGCAATGCCTTCGCCGTTAATCAAACCACGGACATCTGGCCCACGAAAGCACGCTAGACCACGAAAGCACGCTAAGACCACAAAAGCACCACGAAAGCACGCTAAGAAGGTGGGAGAAAATACCTTATAAACTTAACAATACAGTCAAAAGTCGTTAATTCGGACACCCATAATCCGGAATGATCTATAATCCGGACCTCAAAGCTACAAACTTTCTGTGCATGCGTCGCGTTGACGCATGAAACGAATCACATGAAACGAAGCAACTTAAACAACTTACATTGAAAGAAATGTTTAATAAAGTAAACAAATAAATATTAAGCTTTTTCTTTTTGTAAATTTTGATACCCTTTAGATCATAATTGTTCTTTATTTCATAAATTACGGTTTCATATTTTTAATTTGTAATTTCTGCATGCCATCTTACCAGATTTAAACTGATGATCTATAATCCGGAAAAATCGATGATCCGGAATCGCCGAAGTCCCGACGAGTCCGGATTAACGACTTTTGACTGTATTCTGTTATCAAATGATACAGTAAGTGAATTCATGAAATGGCAAATTCCATAAAAATGACACTTAGTCAAAAAATAAAAAACAGTTTTTCACGTTGAAATTGGATGACCGTACAGGTATAAAGAACTTTGTTCAATTATTAGTTTACATACGTTTCGAAGAAGATAAACGAATTTGTTAAAGACTATTTATTTTGTGAATCGCTTCATGATAGAGCAACTGCAAGTGAAATTTTCAAAGTAATTGACAATTTTATGTCTGAGAATGATATTCCGTGTAATAAGTGCATTGCCGTATGCAGCGACGAAGCCCGGGCTTTAGCAGGAAAACATTTAAATGTTATTTATTCTTCAAATAAGAAAAATCGCACCTGAAATTAAATTTACTCACTGCTCCATTTATCATGAAGCTTCAGTAGACAGAAGAATACCTGGAACCTTAAAATCGTTTTGAATCAAGCTGTGAAAATTATTGTTTTTATTTTAAAGCCGAGCTTTAAATTCAAGAATATTTACGGTTTTATGCCAAGAGAAGGGCAGTGAATATACAGTGCTTTTGTGACATTTTAAAGTAAGGTGGTTATCCAGATGCAAAGTTTTAAATTGGCTTTTTGAACTTCGATCAGAAATTCAAATTTTCCTCTGTGATTCAAAATTGTTTATTTAGAATTGTCGTTGACGGGTTTAGTACATTTTGCTTGTAGAGACATTAGGTATTTTTTTGAAAACAGACAAGATGAAAAATAGCAAACGCCTTCGCCAGGAATCGAACCATGGACCTCTGGAATACCTGCCCAGCGTGCTACCGTTATACCACGAAGGCACGCTAGGGAAGTGGGAGAAATACCTTATAAGCTGATATTTTTTGGAACGTTAAATGAATTAAATTTGAGATTACAAGAACAAAGTGTTAATTTTGTGTACCATAAGAGAGAAAATAAATACAATAATATAAAACTCGACCTAAGCAAAGAATTAGGTAATAATATTTTAAGGTTTTTGCCACTTTTTGAAAGTTTTTTAACCGAAATTAATTTGAAAATAAAAGAATTAGCATCCCACATTAAGAATCATTATTTTTCATTGATAATTTCAAAATGTATTTTCCACAGGTTATAAAAAAGAAAATTGGGTTAGAAATCCATTTTGCCCAAACGTACCCAAAAGTTCATCTCTGAAAAGAAAAAAAAGAAGAAGAACTGATAGAAATTACCTGTGATCGAAATCTAACTGAAGATTTTAAAAAATAACACACTTGTTAACAAGAAAAAGAATTTAAATAAATGATAAAGCTATTTAATAAAGCTTCAAATAAAGCTATTAAATTTTTATTGCCTTTTTGCACAACCTATTTTTGTGAACAAGGAATTTCTTCCATGTTATATCTGAAAAATAAATACAGAACAAAATTAAAAGTGGATCTTAATTTACGGTTAAAATTAAGTAAAGCAAGACGAGATTTAAAGAAATTGATCTCTCATAAGCACGCCCAAATTTCGCCCTAAATTTAGAATTAAAGTAATTTAACTTAAATTTTGATAGTTAAAATGGTAACGAGTTCTTAATCTAATATCTTTTTATGTGTGCGTATTTAATCTAAATAGCCAATCGCTTGTGCAAATGAGAACATATATATGTAATAAATTCAGCAGCAGGAAGACCCATAATGATTAGGAAATCGGAGGCGAAGCCAGATTAAATCTTCAGTTTTATTTTCATCAACATATTGCGGTTACACACAAGTCGGCACATTAAATGTGCTTGTTCCGAAAGGCTTACATTTTTGATAATTTTGTAGTACGAAAGCAGAGCAGACAGACAGCAGTGTAGCTAGGCCAAAGCGTGGAAAGCAAGTGCGTAATGTTCAGGATGAAATCTGAAGACAAACGGAGTTAGTTTTGGTTCTCAAAGCATTTTGATTGGCTAGTTAATATTGCTGTAAAATTATTATTGACTGGTTGAATTTTAGTTCCATTTACATCATCATAATTACGTAACAGTCATATGACATAGAATAGTCTCGAAATGACGCAGTGCAGAAGGGTTACTATTTTTAGAATTGAGAAGGGAAATTTACGTTGCCAATTTAATCTTTTATATATTCTTTTTCTTACATATGTATTTAATATTTCTATTGAGAAACTGAAAAATAAGCATTTTACCGCTGCTTTAGATTTTTGAAAAGATTAAGGAAAATTCGAATTACCAACTTTAGGTAGAAAATTAGATCTCGAACTTAAAGTGGATTTAGAAGCTGATGTTATAAGTATATTCTGGAAAAGTATATAATATTTGTGAAATTCATTTGAAACTAAATGTATATGTTATATTGTTAGATAGTGAACTGAGGGACCTATTCCAGATTTGTATTGACGTTGCTAGATTAAAAATGTGCTTTAGCCGCTTTTAAAAAATGCCTAGAATAACGTCTGGAATAAAAAATATTATAGTTGATATTTATTTCTAACTAACTTTTTAAACAATTGTTTCTACATATTAATATAGAAATAAAATGTACAATTATGCAAGTAATAAATTCAAAATACTGTTATGAATATATCCTACTGTAACTTATTTATAATATTAAAATCTGATAAATGTCAAAAAAAGTAGTTGATGTTTGTGAGAAGCAAGCTATATTTTCACTCAAATATCCGTATGTTCGTTTAAAATATAAAAAATCCGTATGTTCGTTTTATCTTTACGTAGTGTGTAGCCATGTGCACTTTGCAAAACAAAAACAAACAAAAAAAAGTCAATTCTATAGCTCCTGTTCTACTGTGCTGATTGATGAATTTTAACTTGCGTTTTTCGAGTCTCGAAAGAGCTACTTAGAATATATATCAAATTTATATCTAGCATTGGTTTACATAGGTATCTATCTATATATAAAGAAGAAAGTTTGTGCGTTCGTGATGTAATAACTCAGCCACTACTGTAGTTAACGTCGCCAAACTTTTTACGATTCTTTTTTGGGTCCTCGAAAAGGTCGACGTCCACCTTTTTCAAAAAAAAAAAAAAAAAAAAAAAAAAAAAAAAAAAAAAAAAAAAAAAAGTAGCTAAAATCAAAGATATTAATTAAAAACTCGTAAAAACGATAATTTTTGCCTTCATTTTTTCGAGTGGCAACAGTGTCTCGCAAGCTGGAGATGACCGTATAGTATATTCTGAGGATCCTTACAATATAGTATATTCAGAAAATTATCTGAGTAATATATTAACTAAGCTGCAATTTACTTCGAGCATTATTGACGCTATAGAGTTCCTTCTCTATAGAATAGTTACCAACCAAAACTAGCGCAAAAAGTTTATCAACAAGTTAACAGTTTTTTTTCTTTAGAAGAACTGTCTTTGCGAAGCTTGCTAAAGTATGAGCTATGCAGTAATAGAAAATCCGATGTGTACATCATATGACTTCCTTTTACGAAATTTTCAATGTACGCATATTTGCTGCATTTCATTAGAGATAGGTTTCTTATTTAATCAATTCAGTTCTCCCTTCGCGGCAAGGCAAAAACACATAAAAACTCAAAATATCTTCATTAAAAATTGAAAGATATAGAAAGACATAAAACACCAAATACAATAAAAACAATTTTTACAATTACAATTACAGTTTCTGCGAAAAAAAAAACAATTCGGCCAGCTGGCAAGAAGACAGATTTTTCGGTGCGCAAAACTCAAAGTTTCGTTTTGGTTCCACTAGGCAAAAAGACATTGAAGGTGCAGAAAGACATTTAATTCACCATTCTGCTAAGTTTTAAGTGCTAAAATAGGCTTAGCCGCGCTTAAACAATTTTAAAACTGTTTATAATTCTACAGCGGTTGCATGGACATTAACAAAAGGCATAAAAATCTTAACCGGAAGATGAGAGCACAATAATTCGATGATATTTAAAGAAAAGATGAAGAATTTACCAACATATAAGAATTAAAAAAATGAGCTCTTGGAACCGCGTAACAGAGTGGGTATAAAAATACGAAATGTACAAGCGCGGTGAGATGGCTTCCCTTCAAAGTAGTTTTAGGGTTGTCATAAAATGGCAAGCGAAGGCAGAGTTGCCACATTTGGCGATAAATCGCCCATTTGGCGATATTTGGCGACAAAACTGGCGATATGCCATGGACGGATGGAGAACTTTCTGGAACGAATTCTTACCGGCTTAGCCCAGCATGTTCTCTAACACAAGCCGAAAGCTATATAAACCCTGCTGGTCCGCAGTCAGTTAGTATGTGTGCGTCGTCTAGCGAGCTGATAGTCAGTCAGTGAGTGTCTCGAAGTCTAGCGCCGAGATGGTCGTCGAGTGCGTCGAGAGAGTCTTTTAGTGTATCGCGGAATAGTGCATCGTCGAGTTTTGTCTCAAGACTGTGCTGAGTCGAGAGCTATACTCTTGTGTATCGTCGAGTGCATCGCGTGGAGAGTCTCAAGAGTACGTGGAGTTCCGAGAACGACCAAGCAGAGTTGGGAGCTGTACTGGGGTGCTTTGCAGTGAAGCTGTCTCTACCGTTACTGCCTGACAGTGCGAAGGTTGCGTCGCTGATTGTGTCCAGCGTGTTTATAGTAATTCATCGACGACTGTAAAAAGTGTTTTGGTAGGCTGTCCTGACAATATTGGTAAATAAAATGCGTTTCGATACTCCATCAAGTGTCGTCCATATTCACTCCAAATCTACGAACCCTGTACGAACGTGAAGGAAAAGAAAAACGTAACAATATATTTATATCCTTTTGGTTCAGCCGATTGCAAACAAAAAGAGAGGTGCACAACTGCGTGTTATAGCAGTCCTATATACATAATTTCAAAGTTCTGAGGCTACTCGTTGTTGAGGTATGCGAGATATATACATGCGTACGTACGTACAGCGCCACGAACACTATCTTTTGAATCGATTTTAAATCAGTTTTATAATTCGTCTGGGGAAGAGAGTTCTTTTCTGTCCTTACGAACAGATTTAACTCAAAAACATCGTTAAATTGCATTCGATAACGGTCAAAATGGATATTTTCTTTGACATATGAAACCCGTAATTTTTCGTAATTACAATACGTCTTTTACATCTTACAAAGAAGTTAAAATATGGTAATGGAATTAAACTATTCAACTTTTTGCGCTATATGTAAAAAAGTAGTTCAGGGAATTTGTGCAGCAAAATATGCTTGTAAATGTAAGAATTAGAGAGTATTTTTTTTTGGAAAAAATTACTTTTTATATAAAAATTAGAATTAATCATAACAGTTTCTATTATTTTCTCAGCACTCAGACGGTTAAGCTTGTGTTTACATAATCTTCCAAACTCATAACATAATCCAGGAATAATATAGAAAGATATTTATTTCAAGCGTTCTTTTCACATGACCAACCAAATATCTTAACACACAAATAATATCCCTAATTTCCTGAAAATACACTTTAATTCCAGCTGATCAGAAGCTAAAATGGATTATAATTAATGAAACGGAATGTGAGTCCATGCAATTAAATTGGTACTTTTCCGTTAGCCGGGCGCAAGCAAAAAATCGTCAAAAGATGTAGAGCGAAGCGATGAGAAAATAGTCAACGGAATAAAAGTTGAGAACATATATCTACTATAAACAAATACCGAAGAGTACCGATCGGGTAGTGCACATAGACAAAGGGAGTGAGCAATGCCAAGTTTGTGCAATTCTCTGTTTTTTTAAGTAAAAATAGGTCGATGTGTACATGGATACCGAGTTTGTGCAATTATTTGACTTGTTATTAATAATTATTTTGTTTCTAGTTGATATACGTTTTCGACTTTTATTCCGTTGATTGTTTTATCCTTCTCTTCGCTCTACATTATTTGGCGATTTTTTACTTGCGTCTCGCTAACGTAAAAGTACCTGAAATGAATCAGCTCTTACACATGTATACACTTCATAACAAATTCATAAAATTGGAAAATCCTTTTTTTTCCATAAATTCATCATTTCTGAATTATTAATATAGATCTTTTCTTAATAATCTGATTTATTCTTCGTGATTAGGTTGTGGTGGAATGCTAACGTCTGCTAGCGGTGAGATAGGTTTACCAGATAATTCTCTGAGTTATGATTGCGAGTGGCATATTCGGATCTCGGCCGGTTCTTTGATCTTTTTGATCATCAACGAAATGAACATCGAAGAGGAAGAGACTTGCTTGAATGCCTACTTACAAGTAAGAAGAAATATTAAGATACTTTTTAAAGCCAGGTCCGTTGACTGTGAAGATTTAAATCATTTGAATGAATGTAGAATATCTCTCTAATTTTTTACTGAAACTGAAAAACTGATATCTACTATACATTGCTTGTAAAAATTAAATAATAAACTGAAAAAATAATATGCTCATTAAAATTTTAAACTAGTCCAAAAGAGTAATTACTTATGTTCGATTTCTGAAATTGAACGCAAAATTAGACTTTTGCGTTTAGGTCAGTACACGAAATATCAAACGTAGACCAGCGACAAGATGTTCCGCAAAAGGCGCATAATGGAATTCGTGTGTTTTGTGTGATATTTAAAATTAAGGAGATTTCTGAGAGTTCTCTCTGATCATAAATAATGATTCAAAAACATAATTTAAGTGAAGTGCAAACGTGGCGGTTAATTGGTAGGCTTATAGGTATTTTCTCTCTCCTTCCAGCACGCCTTCGTGGTGTAACGGTAATACACGCGGCACGTATTCGAGAGGTCCAGGTTCGAGTTCTGGTCAGGGTATTGCACATGTTTCACGTCACCTGTTTCAAAATAACATATTAACCCTACAGTTGTCCTTGTTTGGATGCTTTTTGCACAGTCGTTAGGTTTTTCGAAGCAGGATGTCGCAGAAATTATGCTAATATCATAGCCGTCTTGGCACAGCTCGCGCATGCGCAACACGGATCGTATGGACTTAATAAAAGGTTAATAATTTCCTACTAATAGCATTTACTTCTGCTGAGGAACTTCCATGATGCAGGTGATCAGGTGACTGTAACTATTGTTTCATCCTGCTCTCTTTATTTCTATAGTCAAGTGGACGATGCTTCTGTAAAAGGGCAGCTGCTCAACCTCAATAAAATATTTTTATTGCTCAAGTGTCGTTATTTGGAGCAGATCAGCATGGAATTATTGCTACACAAGAGAGGTGATAAATGTGCAATGCCCTCGCCGGGACTTGAACCTTAGCGATCCGAAGACGCGCCGAGTGAGGTATCGTTACACCAGGTTACCTTGCTGGAAGGTGAGAGAAAATCAAAAAGTCGTCCAAGTACTAAATCTTAAGCAACGTATAAATTATGATGACCAATGAATATCATCCTTGTTGAGCAGTCATTCCTGATACCATTAAAGATATAGATGAATCTCGCTAAGAGACATTTTTGCCTGATATACGCAATCAAGCTGATGTCAGCCTACTGAAAAAATCGTATTTAAATTTCTCGTATTATTAATTTTTTAATGGCCAAGCGCTTTATATAATAGCCATTTGCCTTGCGCCACTACAAGTGCCAGAAGTGGTAGCAATTTCATTGTGGAAGCATCTTATAGGTGGCCACCGTTTCGTCCTATGAAGGTACGGACAGATACCACCATGCTTTACCCGGGATTTGAACCCGGGCCCATCGATATGGCAATCATGACCACTAACTTCTATACCGGCTGAGAGGCTATTTCTCGTATTATGGAGGACTATAAACCGCAGATATTAATTACTTAATATCTGCGCCTGTAATGTATACTGATGTCGTTGTAGGTAGTGAATAATTATTTGCATAATACGGGATTCCTAATATTACATAATGTCGGTAAATAGTTATTAAAATGGTGCCTAAAAAGACAAAGTTTAACGAGCTACCTTTAAGTATGAAATAGAGCCAAACATTTTTGAGCATATAACGTTTAACTCTAGTCACCTACCACTGCTATGAGTTAACAACAAGTGTCAAGTGCATTTCTTTCATTTTAAAGTTTCTCTCATTTGTATATCATATCTTCAATAGAATGAAACAGTCTGCAAGAGATACTGTGCTTTAATTCAAGGATTAATGAAAATGCGAGCATTCATTATTAACTCATTATCATTGCAAACAATTTTTTCACTATTAATATTACAAGTGTTCATTCAAACTGTTTAAATAAAATTCAGTTCGAACACTATAATACCTAATATTTCATGAAATTTAATACAGGGTTTTGTAAAGTCCAGAGAATAAATACCATGCATTAGTTATGCAACTTTTTAAATCTTGTAAATTAGACGGAAGAGGAGAGTGCTGCGGATGCGTCTTCCCACCATTGTTACGTAGAACCAGGGAAAAAGTAGACGGCAGACTCATATGGTTTAAAAAAAAAACACATTTATTGACGGTACAACACACAAATAGTAAAACACAGAATACTGGGTACACACACAATGAACAGAATGAGCAACTAGTACTTACACACATGCTTGGCTCAGCTTGATATCTTAAGGACGCCAACTAGCTCTGAATTTGTCGTGAGCATAAAACATCGTTAACAACCATATCCCGCACATTTTCTATGGGGTTAATATCTGTGTTATGCGATGTCCAGGGAAGTCAGACTGATATTCAGCCAACCAATTTTGAATTCTTCTGGCACGATGTATAGTTACATTTTCATCTGTGAAGTATCCGTCGCCATCAAGGTAAAAGTGCAACGTTGCAGGGTGCACTCGATCTGCCATTATATCTAGGTATCTCACGGCTGTTTGTTTACTCTCGAGAAACACCAGGGCACCACTTCGTTGCCAGCAGAACATGCCCCATATCATGATACTCCCCCCAGACCCTTGCACAGTGCAAGTAAGGCAAGATGGATTCATGGATTTATGGTGTTCTAGCCAAATTCGACGTCTTTCATCAGTGCAAAATGAGGTGTAGTGTGATTCATCCGACCATATTACCTGTTTCCAATCGTCAGATGTCCAGTGTCTTCTTTCCCGACACCACTGCAAACGAATTCTTGCATGTTCATGAAAGGAGTGGTTTTTCTCACAAGCGCCCGATTATGCATTCCTATCCTTTGCAATTCTCTGCGCATGGTTCGAGCTGAAATCTGAAGCAGCGTAAAGTCCCTGCTCTGCCTTACAATTCGGATTCGTTAAAGACGACGCCGATCACTCTCTTAGAAAAACTGTACTCGAACCGCAGTTACGTCTTCTAGAGAAGGACTTAGGTTCTGATTCCAACTTTTGAAAACCTTTGATATGGCTTCTTTTGAGAACCCAGTGAGATTTGCTGTCTTCGAAATCGAGCACCCCCTTGCTAAGGAGACACTAACAATAAGCCCTTTTTCAAATGGTGAAAGATCTGTCATTTTACTTTATTCAAGGCGAAAGGCACTCTTACACCTTCCTTATGCTAGTATTCTAAGTACGTGTAACACACGTCATAAAAAAATTTGCATACTTCATCCCTAGCACGCATTCAAATGAAAAGTTTGGTTTCTAATTCATTGGCCAGAGTGTGTATTTTTATCACTAATTACTTTCTAACGTTTGTGGTGTTTCTAGCCAAAAATGGCTAGAAACACCATTAACATTAGAAAGTATGCCATTAGAAATAGCCAAAAATTAGCCATTAACATTAGAAATAGCCAAAAATGGGCATTAGTCCCGAATGGGATATTAGTGCCGAAACGCCATTTTGCGTTAAGTCACTATAAGCAGGTATTACTTTCCAAATTCTTAAGCGAAATATTATCACGCTGGATCATATTTAAAGAAATTAAATAATGAGGAAATATCATGTAGGTATATATGTTCCTCTCATTGTGAACGTAACTCTCCACCCGAACATGGACCACTGGAAGTCCGAATTTTGAATTTCAAATTTATTTTATTATCTTAAAAAGTAATTTCTCCCTCTTTTCTGGATGCCTTCGTGGTGTAAGGGTAGAACACTAGGCACGTATTTGAGAGGTCCAGGCTTGAATCCCGGCGAATGCATTCCACATTTTTCACTTCTTTTGCTTCATGGAAAACCTAATGTATCTACATTAGCGCCCGAACTAAAAGGTAATGGGTGATAATTCTTTACCTTCAGAATTTGGCGATTGGGTTCTCTAATCCCGTGTTGCCCTTTGAAAGGGGTGTATATAAAGTACAGCACAAAGTCCGTAATCCGAACTCGTCGCGACTTCGGCGATTCCAGATTAAGGGTTTTTCCGGATTATAGATCATCAATTTAAATCTGGTAAGATGGCATATAAAAATTATACAATTAAAAGTATGAAACCGTAATTTATGAAATAAAGTAAGTATGATCTGAAGGGTATCAAATTTTACAAAAAAAAACTTAATATTTAGTTGTTTACTTTATTAAACATATCTTTCAACGCGTGCATGAGTAAAGCATAATGTATGCGCATTCTTTACACGCATGCGTAAAGTTTTTGGCTTTGAGGTCCGGATTATAGATCATTCCGGATAATGTACATTCGGATTACCGACTTTGTACTGTATTTTGACCCTCCGTTCTGCATGCCTTCGTGGTGTAACGGCAGCATACTCGGTGAGTATTCGAGAGGTCCATTTCCAAACCCGCTGCGGGCATTGCACATTATTCATTTCTTCTGCTTCAAAAACTCAATGACTCTGCAATATATTTCATACTTTGTAAAACTTCAGCTCATTTTTCGTTAACAAACTCAACGATTTCAAAGAGAGCTATAGCAATATTGCACGGACTAAAATAAGTCTATCTCCAGCGCATAATTTAAGAAATTCTAAAGATATGCTGCTTTTAAATATTTTATGATTTTGGTTTTGAATCGAATTTTATGAGGCTTAAGGTCCAATAATGGGATATTTACTAAATGAATTTATAACACGAAACGTTAACAATAAAAAGACAAAGAAAAAATGTTTTTAAGCCAGCTCACAAAGAAAACTGAATATTGATACGATAAATTGAGAAAAAGACTGAAAAAGAAGGAAAAAAAACGTATATCAACACTAAACATGCATCCGGACTCTAAACATATGTTCCTATGATTCTTTTAAAATTTTTGTAATTTTGCTGTTGAATTGCGTATGACGTAAGTAAGAAGAAAAGGAGGCTTAAAAGGGCAAACTACGAGTTAGTCTGAGTGAATGTAAGAGTAAGCTGGTAGACTGCCAACTCAACGAAAGCGTAAAAAACCTTAACAAGCCCTTTTAGACGTAAGCAAATGACGTCTAAAAGGGCTTCAAATGACAATTTTTCTAAATGAGATTTCTTAAATGATAATTTTCTTTTAGGTAGCACATAAGTATTTAAATAATAATTTTCTTGAATGATAATTTCTCTTGAGGTAGTCGATGGGGATTCAGATGATTATTTTTCTCAATGAGCTTTCTTGAATGATAATTTCCTTTCAGGTAGTACATGAGGATTCAAATGGTAATTTTCCTGAATGATAATTTTCTTTGAGGTAATCGATGGGGATTCAAATGGTAATTTTCCTGAATGATAATTTTCTTTCAGGTAATGGATGGGGATTCAAATGATAATTTTCCTGAATGAGATTTCATGAATGATAATTTTCTTTCAGATATTCGATGGCGATTCAGAAAACTCCAGATCCGTTTTGCGCATCTGTAATGGCCAACAGAATCCGGGAACAATTACATCTACTGGTAATTCCATGCTCCTTCGGTATCGTTCGGATGGCACAAGACAAGCCGGAAGTTTCCGTGTATATTATACAACTGGTGAGCTTATTTCCTCAAACGTCTTTCTTAATGACTTGAAACACCAGTCATAATTAATTTTTATGGTATTTCATGCTAATTAGCCAATTATTCTGATTTAAACCTTCACTATGATATTTTCTGTAGTCCTAGCCAATAAGCAAATTAGCTGTCTCAGTATTTAACTTGAGGGTTTCGAAAGTTTTAGTATTAGAGCTTTTGGCAACTTCACCTGCAGATTATTTCCTATCGCCTATTTGCCAGAAGTTACTACGGCTTTAGCCCTTTTGCTAGACGACGTTAGAAACGTGCAGTTAAAATATTTGAGCCAGCTTAAGTAGAAGTTTTGTGTAGTTTTCAATTACGTTACTGAATAAAAATTTCGAAATACGATTTAATGTAAACTATGGTACATAGGTATTTTACGTATCCAAGAATTAATGTATATATATATATATATAAATGTTAAGAACCGTACTCAAGTACTCATATAATTAGTGTCTGTAGGTTAATTTATTCAAGTATTCAAATGTTTCTATTGCAATCATGTATTCAGGTATATAAACAATGTACGTAGGTAAATGTATTCAAGTACTCCAAGTGGTTTTATTGCAATAAAGTATTCTTTACATAAACAATGTATGCAGGTTAATGTATTCAAGTACTCAAGTGTTGTTATTGCAATCAAGTATATAAACAGTGTATGTAGGTTATGTATTCAAGTACTCAAGTGTTTTCATGGCAATCGGGTATTCAAGTATATAAACAGTATTCATACAACATAATCATGTAGCTACTGTGTTAACGCATTTAAGTACTCAAATAACACAAATTCTCAAATAATGAATGTAAATAAGACATCTCCACTAGCGAAGTGCAACTATTTCGAGACAAAAGTTATGAGGGTATACCTTTTCTCAAAATAAACTTACACACTCAATTATTTTTTCATTTTAAATACACAAACTGCAGCTTACATAAAACACATAAAGCATAAAATAAATACCTAATGTTTTTAAAAATCCAGTAGTTTAACTATACTCTTTGACGAATCTCTTGTGATAGTGTGCTAGTTTTGTACACTTTTCTTGAAAAATACAGAACCCAACTTCTTCAAATGTTACATGATGGTTAAAAGCATGTCATGTAAGAACAATAAGCAGTATTAATTTAGAATTTACATTTTGCTTAAAAAACATTAAAAATAAATTAGTAAAATGTTTAGAAAATCAGTAAAAAAAAAATATTATATTTTTAATATATCCAATACTAATGATCGTAAAATTATATCCTGCGTAGTTTCAAAAAATAGTTAAGATAAGTAAATAACTGCGGAAAATTTAAACCTTCAAGACGGAAAATATTTTCAAGAAACGCAAAACGAGAATTAAAAGTAACACATTTTGAGAAAACTGAAAAAAAAAAAAAAAAAAAAAAAAAAAACCAATTTAAACACTAATAAATTATTTAAAAAACCATTTTAATATTTTCCTGCACAATAATCATCTTGGATTGATATTTCTACATCTACTTGTTTTAGCTTTTATATCAAAGGAGCAATTTTCCCAGAAAGGCTATTAGTTTCACTTGAGTATTTTGCGTTGGTTAACAAGAAAAGTCTGAATCACTTTTCAAATTACTGCCACCAAATATTAGAGCCTTGCGTTATATTTAAAGAAATTAAATGATAAAGAATCCACATAAATGTATTCGATTATTCTGAGGTTACGACCCTCTTTACCGTCCTCCTTCTTAGCTGTGAAAAAAACCACGCTACCTAGAGCCATAAAATTTTGAATAGCTTAGTTCTCCACTTGAATATTGGCATCTGGATGCCCGAATTAGGATTTGGAATTTGTTTTATTACCTATTTTACATTTTGGAAAAATTTAACGAATTTTTTATTAACAAAATCAACGATTTCAAAACGAGCAATAGCACAGAAGAAACATTTTTATCTCTCGCGCGCGACACTGTGTATCGGAAATTCTAAAGATATGCTCTTTTTAAATATTTTGCGATATTGTTGTTGAACTGAATTTTATGGTTTAAAAGCGAATAGTATGATACTTAATAAATAAAGGTAACGCAGGAAGCTTTAAAAACGCCGCTTTGGGAATAATATAAAATCTAGAAGCCTTTACCTTTTTCTTTTCTTTTTGCATTAATTTTTTTTCTTTCTGGCCATATTAGAAAGATTTTTGTAAACGAAGTGGACCTCACGAGTTCTATCACAACCTAGTTTTCACAAATACTTTACTATATAAAATCCTGGTTGTATTCCTGATAATTCTATTACTTTATTGCGTCTTTGTACACTATCATAGCATATTACTGCATCTAGTAAATGCAATTTTAATGTGATTTCACTCAAAAAATAGTTTCTGGTATGCGTGTCCAGATGCAATTATTAAAACTTTAAATCGAGTTTTGAGTACAGTAAGACCCCGCTTAACGCTGTTTCGTTTAGCGCAGTTTCGGTTTAGCGCTCTTTTATTTCAACCCGGGGATTCCACGAAATCGCTCGCAGCATACGGGGATTTCCCGAAATATTATGCAGCGATAGGTTTCAAATATATATCCGAAAGAGTGTACTTGTATTTCTTGTTTTGGTGCGGTATTGTACAGACATATTTTGAAGGGGTAAATGTGGAAGATGTCGAAGAAATAATTCAAGAAGCAGCGGCTAGTCTTTCTAATGATGAGCTCAAGGAATTAACTGAACAAGAAGAAAACAAAAATGTTGACAGCAGTGATTCAGAAGAAGAACAAAAAGAACTTTTGATGGCGTTTGTAAAAAGGAGTTTGTCTACCATAACTGAAATAATGGATCAATTCATTGAAAATGATCCGAATTTTGACAGGAGCTCAAAAGTAAGGCGTGGTGTTAGAGATGCTCTATCCGTTTATGAAGAACTTTTAAGAGAACAACGCAAAAGAAAAAGGCAAACAACATTAGATGCTTTTGTCACAAAAAGGCAGAACACTGAAAACGCGGAAGGCTAACTAAATATGACTGAGAATTTTATTTGTTTTTTTTTAAGAATATTCGTTTTGTTATTTATATTTGTTTTTATTTTTGCAAGAAATAATAATGTGATATTAATTTGGGCTTTAAGAAATAAATGTTTGATTTTATTTTTATTAAAAAAACATACTTTTTAAATTTAATACCGAACCAATTTCCTAGCCATCTTCCCCTAACCCCAATATTTACATGTAAAGATAGCCTCGTTTAGCGCTGTTTCGCATTACGCTCTACTTTGATGGAACGTATCCCCCGCGTTAAGCGGGGTCTTACTGTACTTCCAATCAATTCACTGTAACAGTAGTGTTTTGTCAGAGAGACTTCTTCTAAACACAAATTTAATAATAATAAAGTTTTGGGTAATAAATAAGTTAAGGGTAATAAAATATTTCTGGCAAAGAATGTTTTGGGGCATATTTTTAACAGTTGATTTGGCTTTATTATAGCCACACTAAACATTTGTCCCTAATAAACTACTCGAAATACCAGTTCTTGTTGGCATAAAGATAGATTTCGGTCTTTTGAAACTTCGAAACATGCATAAATCGTATATATTTTGGAATCATCTCAATCTACTTTTAGCCCAAACTGAAAATTTGAAAATATTTATCTCATATGTCCCCTTAATGTACGTAAGTGTTTTATTGTAATCAAGCACTGAAGATTAAAACTAATGTACCCTAGTAGTTTAACTATGGATTCAATGGAAAGGCTGGGCCATCTAACGTTTGGGGATTTGTATCGGCTATTAAAAAAACTAATGAATATTTTTTAAAACTTATGAGTTTATTAGGACATTTTCATTTAAGAATAAAACACGACGTCATTCAAGTGACTGCCACGGATGGCTTGACAGTAGCCTATCCGATCAACCCAATTTTTCAGTGCATTTTCGATTGTTTGGACTCCAATCCCATGAATGGCAACTACGATTTCGTGTTTCAAGGCATCATTCGTCTCTGGGTGGTTAGCATAACGCTGTTCCTTAACTCTTTGAGGGGCAGGAAAAGACAATTTACTTTTCAGCAGAACTCTTATTTTATTTACTATATCCAGGTGTTACAATGAAATTATTTGCGACAATTACACATATTTTGTTCAAGACGCGTGAAAAAATTATCACTTCTGGTGGTTACTGTCAATGATCACCGCCCACAGAACACATCTCTGCAAATCAGTCTCTATAGTACTCATGGTTTTCTTTCTCAAGCAGAATGCAACTTTGTATGTGCGGCATTTCCCATACTGTTGGTGCTGCCAGAGTTCACATCGTTGTGATGGTGTCTTCGATGGCTGATACTTATTTTCTTGAAGACGAATCGCTGCATCAACTTCTGGCTTAATATGGAATAAGTGGTTTTCTTCACTCTTGGAGCACCAAATTTTGAACGCCTAACCACTATCGTATTCGCCAATAAATTCTGATATACACTGCGTCGAAAATGTTTATGAGAATATTGTTCCATGTCTAGCTCTTTATGTACAATAAATGCATTCACAACACAACGATCGAGAAAACGAAAAAAAAAAAAAAAAAAAAATAGTCTGCGCCACCACTTTTTGCATTTCCGATCTCACCTTTCAGACTATCAAAATTGTCAACAAAATTCATATGCTTATTAAATACATGCAGAACTTTTGGGCACGGAATATTTAATATTCGTTCATCCTTTTGCGTTCTTGTAACATTGACGACTTCAATGAGCTACAAGGAAACTTCAGAAATGGTCAGTCTTGAAACACCACTCACACGAGTGAGTAAGACGTTCAATAGAAAAGGTGGCTACTGTAGGCAACCACCGCCCTTCAAAGAGTTAAGAATTTCCCATAAAAAACAATTTCACGGGGGTCAAAGTGGTGTTTGGTCCGGCGGCATCATATGGCCATTTTTTCTTCGAAAATGAGCAAGGAGCAAGGAATGCTATTGCCGTGACCGTCAATAGCAAACGTTATCGTGCCATGCTAAACGAATTTTTGTTTCCAAAAATTGAAGAGGATGGATGACAGAGGTGACATTTGGTTTCAACAGGACGAGGCCACTTGCCACGCAGCCAATGCAAGCATCGATCTGTTTTTGGAAAAAGAATAATCAGCCGAAATGCTGATGTCAATTGGCCGCATCGGAGCTGTGATTTGACCCCTTGTTTTTTTTGGGGGGGAGGAAGTATTAAGGATAAGTGTTACGCTAACCACCCAGAGACGATTGATGCCTTGAAACACGAAATCGATGTTGCCATTCCTGCGATTGCAGCCCAAATAATCGAAAATATACTGAAACATTGGGTTGATCGGACACGGTACTGTCAAGCTAGCCGTGGCAACCATTTGAATGATGTTGTGTATTATTCTGAAATGAAAATGTTCCGTCTTTCTAATAACCTCATAATTTTCGAAAAATTTTAGTTATTTATAGCTGATTCCAATTCCAAAAGTTAGATGGCCCATCCTTTGTTTATGCATTTAAAAACTGAGGATCATATATGATACAGTATTGTAAGCATTTGTTGTGTTTAAGAATTAATACAGCATGCGCCCAAGGAGCATCACCACTGCATACTAACAACAAATGCTTATATATTTATGCAGATAATATTCACAGAACATCATCCAGGCCTCTGTTTGTTAATGTCATTTCATAGAGAAGCAAATACGTTTCCGAAGCTATCCTCCTTGGACTCGCTTGTCAGAGTATTGCTGCTTGGAGGCGGCACCTAGGTTGAATAGTCTCATCCTAAGTGTAATAACATTAAGTGTAATGTTTCCAATAGCAGAGAAACACTTCATAACAGAAGAAATTTGTAGAAGATGTTGTTCAGGAGGATGTGGTGGCTTGAGATGCAGAATCGATAAGCAATTAAAGTCCAAGAGACGTACGCGGTGAAGCATCATCGGCGGGAGACGGTACTCAAATGAAACGAAGGTAGTGGAGAACCTGCGTGCGTTACTTCTGAGGATCAGCCGTGGCTCAAGATAACGTACATAACACGTAACAGCTCAGGCAGCAGAGTGATTGGTGGTTGGCGGGGACTCTTTTCAGATAGCATACAATTTGGAAGGGAGAACCGATATGAGTGGTAAGAGAAGAGAATACTTGAATTACGAATCTAAGATAAATAATGTTGCGAAACGCCCAGCTACGATGAGAGAGCTTCTTCTCAAAGAGTATTAGAAATGTTAAAGGGACGGCAGGGTTGCAATATTTGCGTGAAATCTCCCATTTGGTGATAATAATTTGTGATATGCCATAGACGGGGAGAGAACATTCTAGAATGCATTCTTAGCAAATTTCTTGAGAACATTCTCGAAGGTAGGTTAAAGCTATAACTGACCTTGCTATAAATAGCCTTGCCTGTACGCAGAGAAAATGGTGTAGAAATGTCTTGATTTCAGCAGTAAAGTCTTGAGTTCAGAGATTAGCCTGTCGTTGTGCTTCGATGCATGTAAACGTGTCTTTAGAATTCTCCTGTCTAATACTGGTGAATAAATTGTGTTTTGATTCTTCATCAAGTGTTTGGGGACAGTTACTTCAATCCCCGAACCCGTAGCATGCAGCAATAAAATAAAGATAATGCAGTCAAGTAATTAATGCAAAACCTAAGAAAATTTAAACAAAATGCCTTAAGACAGCTCCTGGCCGTTTTCGATTTCCTGCAGCGATGTGGTTGTAGTTCATAAGTGGGATGCTGTTATTACTAATTCTGGTAATGTTCTTAAAGAAACGTTTTGTTATCTTAGCCATGTACGTGCTGACATCATCAATATTTAATTCATCGTGAATAACCTCTTTCCTAATGAATCATCTACATTTACGAATTTGCCGTAGTGTAACTTTCTGTATTTATTTGCAGCTATTTAATGTGACTTTGGCATTCGTGTCTCCAAACGAGACATGCATAGGTGTTTATGGGATGCAACATGGTCCCATGAATAAATAGCTTGTTATCTAATGATAAAACTGAGTTTCGGGCAATTAAAGGGGTAAATATAGCTTTAGATTCTCGATACTTGGAACAGAGATATGTAATGTGCGGGGTCCATGTGAGTTTAAAATCAAGGATAGCACCGAGACATTTGACGTGCTAGGTCCAAGGGATAACAGTATTGAACATGTTAATGTTAAGATCCAAATTTCTTTTGTAGGTGAAGAGAACGGCTTTCGATTTTTCAACGTTGATTTGAATTTTCCATTGGGTAAGCCAGGATTCCAACTCTTGTATGTGCTAATTCAGAAGTCAAACAACAAAAATCAGCGTTATATTTACAAAATTTTCACAGGACTAGTTTCGATGGTTTTACCGAACCATCATCTTCAGCTGCAAAACCGCAAATGAACAAGATAGGAAATAATGTTTAGATAAGAAAGCCTGGAAAAGAATAAGCAAGTGGCGCCATCTATTGGCGAAACCAGAAAACTAAAACATAATTTCCTTAAAAAGCTGGAAGGCAAAGATTTGGATTGGAATTAGGGATCGTTAACTAGAACAGAAAAGAAATTTTTATGAATGTGAAATGCCTCTAGAAAAATCCAAGTTCTCCAATGGAAGATGATTTTTTGAATAATTTTGGCAGCAGGAAAAATTGAAAGTGTGATTTTCAGACCAACAATGTTGAGCAACAGAAAGACTTCTGTGTTTCCTTTTTTCTAACATATGCCTCATGTTCTTTGACGCGAAATTTTAAGGCTCTCTCTAGTTTGGCCAATGTAAATTAAACCACACTGGCAAGGAATTTCCTATAAATACCCCAGGAATTCATATCCGGAATGGGGTCCTTGAGTATGGAACTTGGAAATTTATTGATAGGAGAAGTAAACAACCCGAAAGTTAAATTTCTGCAAAATATGTGCAACTTTTTAGCTAATTGATGGAAAGAAGGGAATGACAACAGAATTTTTATAATCTCCTAAAATAAGAGTGTGGCTTTTAGTGTGTTGAGATGAGAATTTTTTAACTGCTTGATTAATAATGTTGGGTGAAAAGCCCCTGTCAATAGCTATTGCTTTTAAATAATTTAGTTCTTCATCAAGGGCTAGTTTGGAGGAGCAAACTTGAAGAGCACGGAAAACATAGGAATAAAATGAAGCTAACTTTTGTTTAGTCGGATGACATGATTTAAAGTGTTGGTGGAAGGCAAACCGATGAAGGTTTACGGTAAACTGTAGTACTGAAGTTGGATGTGTTACGTGTGACCAGAATGTCGAGAAACGGAAGAGAATTGCAAGTCTCAAGTTCAAAAGTGAACTGAATAGCAGGATCAATAGAATTCATTGTTGAAAGAACTTTATTTAAATCATCTTTATTACCTTCAAACAGAGTAAAAGTATCGTCTACGTAGCGGAACCATGCCGGGAAGTTTAAAGTTTCAAACAATTTTGATTCATAATAATGCATATAGATATCAGCCAGGATGGGACTGAGGGGGCTTCCCATGGCTAATCCCTCAGTTTGCTTGTAATATTTATTTTGGAAAACAAAATGTGTTTGTTTCAAACAGAGTTGAGTGAGAGAAATTAGCTCATCAATTTCGATGCAAGAGAAATGAAATTCGCGAAGTCTGGTTTCTAGACATCTTAATGCACCCTCCACTGGGACATTGGTGAATAATGATTTTACATCAAAAGAAACTATGAGTAAATTACTAGGAGAAATGTTTTTAACCTTTTTTACAAACTCTATTGAATTTTTTATGGTGTAAATGTTATTGTCTAATAGAGTCTTTCTCACATTCTTGTATGTGGTTTTGTAGTGCTTGTCCGACTAAACTCAGAGATGCATGTAATGATTGCTGTGCCGTCGTATATTGCAAGGATGGTGTTGGGTAGCATAAATTGCAAAACGATTTTGGGCAAGCAAAGACCCTTCCGGGACGCCGGTGATGATTTTCCGGCATAAGGAATAAGTGTTGTTGTAGCGAACGACAATATATCTATCTGTTAGATAAGTGACGGAGGACGTGGGCACTGTCCCTTTACCTTTATGGTTAATCAGTACAGCACCACGTCCGCCATTATATCTATCTGTTAGATAGGAATAGATGAAGCGAATGATGTAGTCCGGGAAACCCAGGACGATGAATTTAGAAATGAGACTCTCGAACCATACCCTGTCAAAGGCCTTTAAGACATCAAGAAATAGTGCACCAGTGATGGAGTATCTTCGGAATCTACTGGAGATTCCTGGTACTCAAGACAGCTGCTGGTTATAGATAGTGGAGAGCGTGGGACATTATTAACAAATTATTAGTGTCTCAATTTTTTTGTGCAGTTTTGATTAACGAGCTCAACATTTTAAATCGAGCAGTGACAACACTATGGAATAAAACATTTTTATGTACAAGGCACACTACTGTCTGTTGGAAATTCTAAAGGTATGCAGTTTTTAAATATTTTGTTATTTTGCTGTTGAATTGAATTTTATATCGCGTAAGCGTCAAGAAAGTGATAACGGAAAATAATTTCAGGTGTTATATATCCTGTATATCAAACATATTGAATTATTTTAATTACATTTAAAAAAAATTGAAATTTTTTTATATAAAAGCTTTCAGATATTAAATTGCAATCTATATCTTTTGAAATTCTAAATTCAAAAGTGTTCAAGAAAGAAAGGAATTTTAAGAAAGAAGGGAAAGTGTTCAAATCCACATTCCCTTCTTTCTTAAAATGGCGAAAAACGATCTTTTAACTTTGAGCGAAGAGATTATATTCATTGTACATTCATTGTTCATTGTATAATTTCCTTTAAAGAAAGTGTGAACTGAAATATTACCTTTTCTTCCCAACAGCTTGCACTGTTACGTTAACTAAAAGGAGTGGCGTCATCGAGAGCCCGAATTTCCCTGATTACTTCGGGAATCGGGCATTCTGCAGATGGGTCATCAAGGCTCCTCAAGGAAATAATATAACCATGTCTTTCTCACATTTGTTTTTCAGATATCATAGTAATTACTGTGCATCTCTGAATCTTAAGGTAAATGTATATTTTTAACTGATTACTTGAGTAATACTCTCCAAAAGTTAAGGAACAGTACGTTTTTGAAAGCTCACCATTACAAAAATGTCAGTAACATTTAATTTTACAGGTTACATGCATGATAGTAACCACGTTTAAAAAAGTATATGCAAAATCAACAACTACCACTTTTATTTTATAAAAATGAATACTATATGATCGTGACTTTAGTCAGAAGACTTTCGTTTTATGAAAATGGACGTATTTCTACGAAATTATCTTTCCTATGAGGCCCTTAGGCATCGTAGTCAGCTGCCCTGACCACCATACCGACTGGGCGGCCCTATATAAGACCTTGTAAGACCTATTTCTATAAAGCACATTATAATTTATTTTCATTACCTTATAAGACAAAGATGCAAAATGACTCCATTTGATCATTCAGGCTGTTTTCATAGAGGTATACCTTTGTTAAAATAACCTGAAAGATCAGATGGAGTCATTTTGCATCTCTGTCTTTTAAGGTATTTTCTTCCTCCTTCCAGCATGCCTGATTGCATGGTGCAACTTTAGCGCATTCGGTGCCTATTTGAAACCCCCAGGTTCGAGTCCGGCAAGGGTGTTGCACATTTTCCATGACTTTAGTGTCAAAAATCCTAATGATTCTACAGTGGCAATTGAACAAAATGGTGGGAAGAACTGAACAACTAAACACCACCAGGAGTTAGCAACTGGGTCCCCTACTCACCATTCGCCCTTTAACCCTTTGGGGCACCTAAAACTTTTCTTCTGTATGCACAGAAATATTGAATGAAAAATGATTTATAGGTTACTCTGAACCTTCTTTATTTATAACAGACGGCAGCCCAAGACGGTCCAGTCAACATATTTTAGTCATGTTTAGTTTTTAAAGACCGTCATTTTTCAAAGAAATCTTCGAAAAATTTTTAGGAGACAAAAGGAATTATTTGAAAAGAAATTTATGTGTTATTTTTTGGCTGTATGCTAATCTCCTTATTCTATATTAGTTTTAAATTTTTCACCTTGAAAACTTGCCTAAAATTGAGCGGCGAACATCAGGTGTACCCAGAGTGGACTCACTGAGAGACTAGAACAAGACCGAAATCTGTATCTTTGTTTCTCTGCAGCTCATCGGTCAGGTCATTTATAACAAAAAGGTGGGTCTCCATCTGTGTTTCATTTCTTGTTTCTCGCTTTATTCTTTTCTTTTTTGGGGGAGGGGAAAGGAGAGGTTTGGTTATGAACTAAGAAATTGTTGGGGTGATTTTCTGAAGTTCAGGGGTAATTTTATCAGTTAGCTGTTTGGTTTTTCACTAGAGAAGCTCTCTTTTTTTCTTTTACCTTCGTTCAAAGAAGTTTTGAGTTATAGACGTTTATAATTTTATTTTATAGTTTATAATTTCAAATTGTAGATATGATATTAGTTTATTTTGCCGCCCAGTCGGTATACTGGTCAGGGAAGCTGACTGCAATGCCGAAAGGCCTGGGTTCGAATCCCGGAGAAGGCATGGTTGTAAGTGTCCGTCCCTTCATAGGAAAGGCGACGGTGGCCCACCTATTAGGTGCCTCCATAATAAAGAGACCTCCACATCCGGCCTTATATAGATTAATGAACTCGATTACATGTGTAATTGTTCACAATCTGCCATTGGGAAAAAAATATTAGTTTATTTTTATCTGATTTTTAACTATATTCCAAATGGATCGGAGAGGGCTGACCGTTTCTGAAGTACTGAAAGTACTACACGAATTGCTTACAGATCTGATACGGATCCCCGTACATGTGAATCTGATACGGATCCCCGTACATGTGCGAAACATGCAATATTGGATTCTGCTTTTTGAAAGGTGGTATCACTTTCTTCGAAAAGTACCACCATGAGAAAAATAGACGAAAGTGCAAATATGAAATGTAAATATCATATACCCAAGTTACTTTTTTTCCACTCATACGCATGCAATCATCATATAACCGAGAAGAGCATTTTTGTTTTTTAGGGAAAGTAGCAGGCCTCTCCGTGGCACACCCTGGGTAATGCTAAATATGCAACGGTATTCATAATTTAATGTTTTTAATCAGGTTTTAGGCAAAATCTCTTACCCTTTTACGCGCTTCGGCCTACCAGCGGCCGAGCGGTAGAGTCGCTGAACACTGGTAGTTCGGTCGGAGGTTCGAATCCCGCGAACGGGCTGACTGCATGGGCGTTTTCGTGGTTTTCCCCATGTGTAACGTGTATACGAGCCAGTTTCCCTTAGAAAGTCCTCCACGAAGGCATCCCTCCCCTTAGGCAGATAGCCCTAGTGTGCTTTGCCATAATTAAATACACCACACCACACCACACCACCGTTTACGCGCTTCCCAGCAATTCTCGTTTCAGCACTCTTTTCGAGGCTCTATTCATTCAGTGTGGCCGTTTCGGGCACACCCACAGAATTAAAATTATAAATGCTATCTTCACAAAATTTAACCTGTATACTTCCTGATTAGACTGGCTACCTTTTTTCCTTTTTGACTGATTCCTGGCCTGATTAGACTGCCTACCTTTTTTTGTCAAAATTTCAACTTTAAAAGGTAGCATGCCGGAAAGAGTTAAAAGAGGAAGTATATAAGGTTATTTTCTCCCTCCCTCCAGCATGCCTTCGAGGTGTAACGGTAGCACACAGCGCGTATTCGAGAGGTTCTGTATAATTGTTCTTCATATATAAATAACTTGTTACTTTAATGTAATTTATTATGTCAACTGCGTAATGCAATGACCTGAAATGTAATTTTTTGTCTTCATAAATGCCAGAAAAGGTTAGTGCAGTGGGGCAATACCATTTTTGTCTATGACGATGTTGTGGTGCCCCCTGCACTTTTTCCTGTCCTGTCCTGTCTCTTTCACAGGGCTATCAACTGCTTCAGATATGTTACTGAACTCAGCCACACAAAAACAAGAGGCGGAAATTATAGTTTCTTTAAATGGTTTGTTTAATTATAAGAATTATTTAAAGCAAATGATATTTTTGCAGATTAAAGAAGTTGATGAATATGAAAGAGATCATTCGTTATTTAGCAACTGTGGAGTACCGAACACACTTCTTCCGACAATTGAGACTTCAACGAGCAAAGCGATTGTGGAATTTATATATTCTTGGGGGCCGAAAGTCCGATTCAGATTAGAATGGATAATGAAAGGTAAGTTTTAGAACTTTATGCAAACGCAGAATTAGTAACACTCCTGCTGCTGGAAGTAGATTTAAAAATTCGAAATCAAGAAAAAAATTGCGAAATAGCAGGATTTGCTCTAAAAATATTTAAAATTTTTATTTATCTGATAACATTAGGAAGAGATGAATAATTTTTTTTAAGCAAAATAATATCACACACAGCATAATAGTCGCTCGAAATAACTCAAGGAGAACGCGAATATTTCGCACTTCCTCCTTAGTACATTTCTCGAATCACTCTCACGCTAAACCGTAACTCGTAGTTCGAAATCCATTAAAGAATCTGAAAGAAGGAACTTTGCATATTTTTGAAGATGTATATTTTGTGATGGCAAGCATGCTAATGCTGATTGTTTCAATGCTCATAAACTTTTTACTAGAGGAGAGGCAGACGGATAAGTGCTGTTTTGCGTGCCTTGTTCTTAGTCATTCAGTTAGGAAGTGTCACACGGTTTTTAAAAAATCTCATCTGTATTAAAAAAAAACATATTTTCTTGGTGTGTGATCAACAGCAGACCTGCGACAAGCCTGATTAGACGAAGGAAGAAGAAATTTCTTTCAGAAAGGATATTAACTTATCTGAAAAAGTCAAATCCAAAAGTATTTCTTCCGATAGTTAAAGCCAACCGTATCTCTGATATAAAAGAATAAATAGTTCGCATGCTGTGTTATACTGGCTCACAAAAGTCGTACATTGTAAAGGATACTGTAAAAGAGATGAAATGCCTTATAATACATAAAGAAATCATTAACACTCTTCGGTTGGTAGTGTTTTTATTAAGAAAGATAAGCGTAACTGTTACAAAAGAAAGCAATTAAATGGGAATTTCACTTGTATATTTGAAGTCTTGCATCAAGATATATGTGTAAGATAAGCGTAACTGTTACAAAAGAAAGCAATTAAATGGGAATTTCACTTGTATATTTGAAGTCTTGCATCAAGATATATGTGTAAGTACGTTGCCAGTAACTAAAGGCCCTTGGTTGGAAGAAATGAAAGACCTAAATGTGGTTTTAACTGATACTAACGCCTCTTATGAACCTATTCAAGTCCTCATTGGAGCAAATATTTTTAATGGTGTCCGCCCAAAATATCGCAGCAAATACATCATGGACGAAAACGTCGTAGAAACAGCAACGCAAGGCGATAGCATCGTCATACAAAACATCGTGTGTGAAAAAAGCAAAAAGAAAGCGTCGCAGTTCTAAAATATCGTCATCGAAAATAAAGCGGTTGAAAGAGTCGTCTTCAAAAACATCGTGGTAAAAAATAAAGCAACTACAAATCATCGCATGACGACAGTACCGCATGCGTATTTTAAGATTTAAAAGTTGTAAATGCATAATTGCATAATGATTTGCGATATGAAGAAGGAATGAGAAATATTTTTACTTTTATATATCATATTTTTGAATTAACAAATGAATTTTTTTGCTAAAAAATGAGAAGAATATTCAGAAATTAAGAATGAGTAGAAAAATAACGCTAGGAGTAGTAGTTAAGAGAATTTTAAAATAATATAGTTAACTAATAAAAGTCATTAATTAATTAATCTCTTTTATTAACTTTTATGCAAAATATAGTAGAAAAAAAGATTAGAAAAAGGAAGATGAATAACTGAAGTTGTTTAATTAAATATAAAATTGTAAAAATTCTAAATTGTTTAAATTCATATGGGCGCATATAAGCATCAAGGATGTCTTCGCTATAAACTCGAGCACTCACGGTTTCCGTTGGAAAGACATGGAGGTCTGTGCGTCCACCCAAAGAGATGCCACCCCAAACACAGACACTGCCTCTTCCGTATGCATCTCTTTAACGGTTGTTTGACAGATGATAACGGGTTCCAGGTTCTCTCCATATCAAATAACGCCTACTATCGCTTTCTAGACTAAACCTGAACTCATCTTTAAAGAGAACAGCCCTCCACTGATCAGGCGTCCAGTGGACATGTTGTCGTGCCTACTGCAAACGGTCCCTCCTATGGCGTGACGTGAGCGGCACACAGACGACCTTCGTGAAGCCTTCTACGCACAGTTGACGTTGACACCAACCTTCCGGTGGCTGCAGCAAGGGAGGATCTAAGAAGAGTCGGAGTAGCGGTTCTATTCCTGCGTACACATAATGTCAAATATCGGTCATTGGCGCTCGTCGTCGCAGTTGGCCGTTCTTGGCTTAACCTCCTAGATACCGAATCTGTGGTTTGAAATCGCCTCCAAAGTCTATGAACCACAGAAGGACTAACATTTAGCCATCTGGCCACTTCTGTCTGACTTTATCCTGCCTCTAGTCTCCCAATGGCTTTCCATCGTATTTCTGCAGGCAAATGATGCCTGGAGGTCATTGTTACGAATAAGCTATCTCACATTCCTGATGTCACTATCACAGTAAAATATGTGGGCTTGCCCTCAAACATGGAATTTTATTCTCCTCGCAAATGACGTATTCCGAGTGCAGCGCCACTAATTTGCATACTGCAGTTTTATTCAGTTGCTCTTACTTGGCAAGATATTCAAATTTTATACGGTTTGGCTTATTTTTGAGGGAGTTATCGCTATTTTTGTGATTTTTCCTTAATTTATGATAACCAGTGTACTATGATCATCAAAAACTAATTTTATATAACTTTTAGCCGATAGAATATCTTAAATAGCACTTTGGCTGTCCGAAAATAAATCAACATTTTTATTGGACTCTTTTACTAAGACCCATTCTCTAAAGCTTTCAGAATAGCATAAACTTCTGATTGAAAAACTGATGCGTTATCACTTAACCTATATCTTTCAATGGCCCTTATTTCACCATCTATAATTTTGATCAGAGTAAGGAAAATATTATACTCAGATTTAGTTTCGGTCGAAACCGAAGAAATAGAAATTGCCGGATATCTGGAGAAAACAGGATATTGGAATGAAAGATCCTAGGAAGAAAAGACCAAAACTGGAGATAGACCTAAAAAGCTAATGCTCATTTCCCAGAACTACTGAAATTTCATCTAGATAATCATTACGAGAAGTTTGTTTGCCATCGGCTGACGACAGTTCTTCCTTGGCTGATAACTTTAGCCTTCTCCAGAAAAGGGACAACTGCAAAATACATTAGGAGGAGCTGTGAATTTAGGGCGGTGGAATTATACCTTTCCGACCAATGGCGATGTTCTTGTGTCCTACGCACTTGCCCTGTACCTGTATTCCAATGTCTTGGAATAGTTTCATCAAGATCCACCACCTTTCTTAGGTGCATGGGTTTCTTGCTAAATTTGCAATTTCAATAACGTTGTTATGGCGCATTATAAAAGTATTTCTATTTGTCTATAAAATTGTCCTTAAACTGACAAAAAATTTATTTTACGGGATAAAAAATAAAATTTTACGCCAAATAATAAAAAATTTTACTTTAATTAATTTTACGCCACGCTGATAAAAATAATTTTACGCCACACTGATAAAAATTTTACTTTACGCCACATTTAAACTAATTCTTCAAATGTTGTTAGATATACAAACTACATGTTTTTATGTCGTTATAAGATCTGGTCTTTTTCAGTAGCCTGCAATTATTAGTATTTTGCAAATTTAATGAAGATAGTTTCAGTTTTTATGTATTTTCGCCTTGCCGCGAGATGAGAACTGAATTAATTGAATGAGAAATATATCGCTAATGAAATTCGAGAAAATAAGTTTAAATGGAATTCGGCAAAACGTGTGCATAATTTTAGAAGGTGTTCAAGGCTCAAGGTCAATTTAATAAGGTGTTCAAGGTCAATTTAATAAGGTATTCAAGGTTCAAGGTCAATTTAGTAAGGTGTTCAAGTTATGCGGTGTCCCCATCAGATTTTTTATATTCGCTATTGTCTTGAATGTGATATATACTCCATTTTAGAAACTACTCTACCATTATTTTCATCAAAATTACTATTATTTCTTATGCATTATTATATTTTTAGGATGTGGTGGAGATATTGAGAATACGAATTCAGGCTTCATTACTTCTCCGAACTACCCTAATGGATATCCATTAAAAACGACTTGTTTATGGCACATTTTTTATGCTCCTGGAGAAAGAGTACAGTTGACGATACTGGAGCTTGATCTTCAAGGAGAAGAGGAATGTGCATCTGATTATGTTAGAGTAAGAATGAATATAATTTACACTTTTAATAAATTCGATCACTTAATTATTTAGGAATAACTAATAATCTGTGAAATGCACGCGATGGACTCTTTAATACACTCACTTCCAAAAGTTAAGCACGAAGATGTAAAATGCATAAAAATCAACAAATACTGCTTTGATTGACACAAAATTCGGCAGGAAAGTCGGCAGAAAATATATATTTATGCATGGAACAAAATAATTATATACAGAAATGAAAACAATATTAAATTTTTGTAAGTTATCAGATAATGACATAGAGGAGACTTAAACAGAGTTATGTATAAAGTGAAAATAAACAGCATAAAATGAAAAAAGGACATTAATAGTGTATGTGGTCCCCCCTCATCTGTATACAAAGTTTACACCTTGTGACCATGCTTTCAATTAGGTGGTCAACCACCGCAGAATTAAGCAATCGACATTCTTCTTGTAGAGCAGTTTCCAGCTAAATAAGAGTGGCTGGAGGTGGGAAACGGGAAAATACAGCACGGCCGAGAGTATCTCAAAGATTTTAAATGGGATTAAGGTCGGGCGAATATGCTGGCCACGCCGTATGCGCAATCTCTTCACTCTCCAGGTAGTCATCGACGATGTCAACTCTATGGGGACGTGCGTTATCGTCCATTAAAACAGAAGTAGGGCCAACTGCTGCAGCATCCAATCTCACAATGGGTTCTAGGACTTCGCCTTGTAATGCGTGAGGATAGGTAATGTTTTGGGACTGACTGCGTGTTCGTTGTTCACGCCATATCCTTATACGCTTGTCATCTGGCTCCAAAGCAAATCTTGACTCGTCAGTAAACATGACATTGCCCCAGTCAGATACATTCCATTTGACATGTTCCCGGCACCACTGTAATCGTGCCCCTCTTGATTGAACGGATAGAGGAACACAAACTCGAGGTACCCGGGCATAGAGTCCACTCATATGTAATCTTCGGCTTGCAGATATCGCCTTACCAATGAACTCTGTAACCATAGATGTCACATGCGTGGAGGTCGCTCTGCGATTCCGCTTGGCTACAATAGCAATAGTATCCATTTACGTGGGGGTTGTAACCCTTGGGCGACCGGGTACGGAGCTTCGGACAACTGCCTGTATTATTTGGAATTGTTTCTATAAACGGAAAATTACAGACTGATGAACGCCGAAGAAAAGAGGAACATCTGTGATCGACTGTCCTGCTTCAGTGCGCCCCACAGCACGCCAGCGCTCAGAATCTTCCATTCGTCTTCTGGAAGTCACAGAAACACGTATGTCTTTAAATCAAATTGTACGAAAGTTTTAGACACCTTCTATCAGCGCTTACAATCAACTTCTGTAACCCTTCATAAAGCTGGTTTCTTATAAGAGTGCCTTTTTTGCATATTTCTTGACATGAAAGCGCGTTTGGCTGTTACCTAACATATTTGCATACTTCCATCTACCTCTGCAGCGAATTGCATCCTATTCAATTCTGATTGGCTTCCGAAAATTATCATTTTCCTCTCCGTGCACAACTTTTGGAAGTGAGTGTAATTTTCTTTCAGAAGAATACGTTAATTCTGTTTTCTGATGCCAGATATTTTATGCCCATGCCTTATCCAATAGCTATAGAATATTACATAGGTAGTGTTGCGTTCTACTGGTTCATGGATTTGGAGTGATTGATGGCAACACCTTGATGTAGAAACAAAACATAATTATTCATCAATAGTACACAGGAGAGTTCCAAACACACATTTACAGCCGTCGAAAAACTACGATGACTATGTTGAAACAATTAGCAGCGCAACCTTCAGATTATCAGGCTGTAACGGTGAAGACAGCTTCACGACAAAACAGTAAAGCACAGCTCTCGACCGTGACCTTCGTTTTATATCCAGTTGGCCGTGTTTCGACTCGGTTCGGTCGCTGTCGGAGCTACTACTGCTGAACTCAACGTACTCTCAATACTGCCCAAGATACAACTCAAGATACACTGAGACTTCGCGTACAGGTAGGGTTTATTTATATAGCTTTGGGCCTGCATTCGAGAACATTCTATGGCGAACTGGGATCGCTCTAGAATGTTCCCGCTCCGTCTATGGCATATCGCGGATTTTGTCGCCAAATGGGCGATTTCGCCCAAATCTGGCAGCTACTAACTCTTCTTGCCATTTTCTGGCAAACCTAAACTCGCTTTGCGGTGAAGCTATCTTACCGTAGCCGAGCATTTCTTAACTGTAGTATACACTAATGTCCTTGTAAGGATTGTTACGTCCCGACAGAAGCCCTTTTTCTACAAAAGCTAGATTCATCCATATACCAAGAGACGCTGTTATACATATATGGAAGAATGGAAAAAGAGTAGGTTTTTTAAAGTGTAGGACTTGCTTGCCATTGAACGTAAAAAGTTATGATGCGCGCCATTTACATGGTAAATAACGGTGCACTGCAGAACAAAATTATAAATGATTCTGAATTTATATTTTGATACAATTTATTCATCCACTGAAAAATGAATGAAACATTGAATACGAAGACGTATACAAAAAGTAAGATCGCAATATTTATATATACAGTGGTGGCCAAAATTGTGGACACTTTTGGAAATTTTTATGTTTTTGAACTTTGTATGCTTATAGAAAACGTTACGTTTCACAAAATGCAAACTTGTATATATCATTTTAAAGAGAATTTATTACTGAATTCAATACAAAAAAACACAAAATCAATTAGTTGCAATACAAAAAAGTTAAACTATAATAGTTATCGATATACATTAGATAGTAATGATTGCAGTGAGTCATCAGTACTTAGTAGGGTACCCTTTATTTTTGATTTCAGCTTTACATCGACGTTTCATTGAGCTTACAAGAGTTTTAAGCTCTTTTTTCGTTATTACATGACCCCAGGAAACAATTACAGCCTCAATTAGTTCCCTTTTATTTGATGGGCGCCTCATTCGGACAAGAGTTTTCAAACGGTGCCACAAATTTTCGATAGGATTGAGGTCAAGACTGCTTCCTGGACATGACAACAATTAAATGCTCTTTGCACGAAACCACTCTTTCGATATTTTGGCCGTGTGGTAAGGAGCAGAATCCTGCTGAAAAATAAACGAAGCATTGTTGGGAAAGAGATCTCTGATGGAAGGTAGAAGTTTTGGTTCTACAATAGTGTCAATGTATTTTCTGGCATTTAGTGTCCCATTGATGACATGAAGGCGACCAATACCATCTGCTGACATGCATGACCAAATCATAACACTAACTGGGTTCTTCACAGTTGCTTGAATTCATTCAGGATGTAGCTCTTCTCCTATTCTACGTCTTACATATTTTCGCCCCTCATTACCGAATAACGAAATCTTAGTTCCATCACTCCATATAACTTGTCACCACTGATCATCTGTCCAATTAATGTGTTCCTTTGCCCACTGTAGTCTTTTTTTTTTCGTTGCTGAAAATTAAGATAAGGCTTTTTTCGTGGAATTCTACCTCTCAGTCCAACATCTGTTAATCTTCTCCTGATTGTTCTTGAACCGACAGAAACACCAGCATCATTCAGATCACTTCTGATAGCCGCTGATGACATTTTTCTATCTTGGAGGCATAGTCTTTTTATTCTTCTGTCATCAATAGATGTGGTGCACCTTTTTCGGCCTTTTCCTTCTTTGTTTTTTATTGAATTTGTCTCTTGATATCGTAAACAAAACTTTCGGACTCAAGATGTAGTCACTGAACCACCCACCTGTCTTGCGATTTCAGCATAGGAAAGACCACTTTCTCGTAACACAATAATATTACATCTCTTTCTAGGTGTCCAATCTACTCTTTTATTTGATGTCATTGCTTCTTGACTAAATATTAAAATTTTTTACAAAAATTCCTACTTGTAATTGCAGTTTGAAACAGGTTCTCATTGAAGAAACAGGTTCTCCTTCTACAGAACAAAGCAAAATAATGAATTGTTTCAAGTGTAAACATGATGTCAGCTTCTACTGGCAGTTACTAACATTTGATTGGTTCTCGGAACAAGAGCAGGGATTGGCCAGGAAAGCTAGACATTACAAACCACTTCATAACTGTGTTTTTTATTTATATTAAAGTACATATAACATTTTTTGTATTGCAAATAATTGAATTTTGTATTTTGTATTGAATTCAGTAATAAATTCTTTTTAAAGTGATATATACAAGTCTGCATTTTGTGAAATGTAGCATTTTCTATAAGCATACAAAGTTGAAAAACATAAAAATTTCCAAAAGTGACCACAATTTCGGCCACCACTGTATATGTTGTAGAAAAGAATTAAATAATTTGAAAGTTGTTTGAAGAAAAGTTTAGATAATTATCTCATAGCTTATAGATAATGTCTTATAACTTTGGCAATACAATTCTGTTAATATACTTTTTTAGGAGCTTACACTTTTATTATTCGTGATATAAAATTGTAGATGAACTTTGTAAAGAGAATTATTTAATCTATAGAGTTTCGTATTCTTTGGTAGCATAAACTAAGCTTAAACTCATCACAGCTTTGGAAGGAATTATTGCTACAATTCTAGATAACAACAAGTACTGAGAAGTCTTAAGAAATAAACTTTTTATTAAGTTAGAACTTTAACATAAACGCATGACTCATACTTGAAGGTAACTTAAAGTAACTTTCAAATTAAAACTAAGTGTCGCAGCCAAAGGCTACACAAATGATTTAACTCGAAATTGGCTCAAACGTCTTATCGGCATAACGGTTTAAATGACGGGAATCGAAAAATACAGTGTTATCTGAGCTAGCAAAAACCTAGTAAGACGTGTGAAACCTCGACTTTTGTACTCTGAAGCTAACTTGCATTCTGGCAGAGAAACGGAAAGGAGAAATGACAACAAAGATCAAAATCAGAGTGACTGGTTAGATTAACATAGTAATAATCCTACAAATCTCTTGCTTTCTGCAAACTATATGATAAATTATTTTTCTCTTTTTAACTCATTAATGACTTTCTGG